TTTGCAGTAGAGGCGCCGTGGCTTTCGCTCTTCAGTGTTGTCGGCGTAGAAGGCGAGCCTTTCGCGTTCTCGTCGCGGCGCTGGTCGCTGCTGATCCATATCCCTCTGTTCGACGAGAAGGGCGGCGCAAAGGGCGGCCTCCGAGATGACCCCCTGCTGTCGGAGAAGCGCCTTGCAGGGCCGCCACTCTGGGCCGAGCCCTTGAAGCACGATGTTGACGAAGATTTCTTCTGAAATCGTGCTTCCCAACTTCACGATTTGATCGCGAAGGCTCCGGCAACGATTAAGGTAAGTGTTGACCTTCTCCCCTGCCGTCATTTTGGTTTCCAGGAGTTTCTGGAGTAGTCGGCTCGAAGAGACAAAGTCTTTGGGCTGGTAGACTCCTGTCAGGTGCCGCCAGGCGTTAAGGGCTGGAGCAGCTGTGGTTTTGTATGAACGAATGTTGAGCTGCTCCGCCGCCGACATGTTCCGCAGGAGCACCCCGTACGCCATCAGCGACTCGTTGTAATACCGTGCCTTAGCGTCGTCGGTGTCCTCAGCAGGCTCCGCGTAGCTCCCGTCGAAATAGTGGAAGATCTGGGCGTTCTGAAGCAGGAGCTCCAGCTCGAAGCTCCAGGTGTAAAAGTCTCTGCCGTCAAAACAGGTACTTGTCTTTATTTTTGATATGCTGAGAAACCTTGATTGAGCGGAGAGAATTGCCTCTTCACTGGGACGGGGAGTCTTGGGGGTTGAGCCATTGGTGTCGAGGGAGAAAGTTTGCGGGGTGGCGTTCTGGCCAGTCGGGGCCGGTTGAGTGGGTTGCGAGGATGTTCCCGCATCGCCATTCCGCAATGTTTGGAGCCCTTGCTCCAAGCTGGTGAGTCGCTGAAAGAACTTCGGAGTTGATTGTCGTCGTGTTCTCGCTTGTCGCAGCCGGGTTGGGTTGCGCTTCAGCCGTCAGATTAGTCTGACCACCAGATCCTCCGGCCATCTTCACTCGTGAGCGTGTGCCGGACGCCACTTTCCGAATGTCGCAATTTTCGGGAGTGGCAGTGCGAAGGATTCCTGAGCCGCTCTCATACCATGCTGAGATCAGAGATTGATCGTAGCCCGGGATCTACCCAGGAAGGTTCGCACGTAGTGTTATAGTTGGTGGGCCCTTGACCTCAATAGCAGAGTGAATGTAAATGCTTGAGATGATAAAAACATGCAAACAAGGTGGTATAAATAAGAGTACAAGGGAATACGAACATACCTAACTAGCCATGTACTCTAAGGGGTACATTCCCTTATTCAAATACATCCCCAACCGTGCGGCGCGTACAGTTTCGTAACTGTTCCCGCCAAAACCACCTTGCCTGCAGCTGCCCGATGCCGTCTGCTCCGACGGTCCAGATGCGTCCCAATTGTCTGTCGCTTCGAGTCAATTCCAACCGTCTGACGCTTCGCGTTCGTTCTCGCTACTGCGTGCTTCTCTTTGCTGCGGTGAGGAGTGCACAGTAATATCAAATATTACTATTCGTAACAATCGGGACGTACGGTCGGAGACGGCTGACTTGGAAAGATCAAAGTACCAATTTCTGTGTGAATTGGTACACTCACTCAGTGAGAGTAAGTGGGGATGGGCAAGCAGTGAGTCTCGTCAATAGTGGGCCCGTATTCTAATCACTGCTGGTGTTTCTCCGCCTCCGATACTTTCTCTCCACCTCTATTCCTCAAGACATTCGCTCTTGCGATGGCCTGGCCTGTTACGCGCGAAATAGCATCCTCGAAACGGCGTGACGGCTGCATTCATCGCAACAGCGTGTATCGTGGCGGCTCGATCATTCCTCGAGTGCGTGGCCGTAGTGGTAGGACCATGGTCTCGATCGTCATAGGATATCGATCTTCTTAGCGAACGAGAAGTTTGAGATCATGCGTAGGAGGATTTCCCACAAAATTTTAGACCTCAAGTCTCCCACATAGCGATCTACTCGCTTCGCTTCGTGCATGTAGCCGACCCGCTCGCATAGAGCACAAGTGTAGTCTTGAACCGACCAAGTCGTCGCCAAGTGTGCAACTTCAGGCATGCTGAGATCGAAGCCGCGATCGGTTCAAAGCGCTCTCGTTGTCCTACACCTGGCCTCGAGAAGCCTTTTCCCCTTGCGACAGTGGCTCATGGTCGCTTGGTGAAGTAACAATGACTCTGTCAGAATCCCAGCCACTAACCACTGGGATAAAAGGGCTTCTTTTGTGTAGCGAGTGAGTGCGCCCATAACCCCCCAGGCCGACGTGCCTGTAACCCTTCCCTAGAATCAATCGGAGAACTCCAGTGGACCTCTGACAGACTCGCCACAAGTCCATGGCGGGCCCACGGAGTAGGGAGACGGCATACCAAATCTTTGCGTAAAAAAAAGTGTTCATCGTGACAACGTTTGCGTTGACTTGGGTCGAAACATGGCGAGCATTGTGGCTTGAGTGGCATCGGCTACGCGACACCATTATTGTCGTATGCCGCCGCAATGATAGCGTTTTGACGGTTGTCGGTTGGTACATTGATGCGCGGTACATCCCTGATTCGCTCCATGTCCGGCCCGGCATTTGTTGGGCGGTGCCATCATTGGCTGCGGCTGAGCGCCGTCCCACGCTGTCATGCCGTGATGCTGAAGGCGTCCTGAAGTAATGATGTGTGCAACTTGTGCAGAAGTGTTTGCTGTCAACCGTTGAAGCGAGTCGCGCTCTGCTGCCAATGTGGAGAATTCGAGTGTGGATTTGTGCAGTTGGCGGGCGAGCTCTGTCAGAATCCCAGCCACTAACCACTGGGATAAAAGGGCTTGTTTGTGTAGCGGGTGAGTGCGCCCATAACCCCCCAGGCCAACATGCCTGTAACCCTTCCCTAGGATCAATCGGGGATCTCCAGTGGACCTCTGACAAGCTCGTCAAGGCGCTCTTTGATCAGGCCTTCGAACGAAATTAGTGCGTCCACGGCGGGGGCGTTGGGTGAGCTCAGTGACACTCTTGGTCGTGACTGTTGTGCTTACGAAAGAGCATGCTAATAGAGGCATTGGGCGCTGAGAGACGTCTACCCTCTAACAGAATGTGATAAGTTGGGAAGCAAAGGGGTGCGCGGTTATAAGCTTAGGACGGCTCTGAATACCAAGCGCTACAAGTGCAATAAAGTGAACAAACGGGTATTGCACTATTGAAGCAAACTAGCACAACGTGCAAATACATGAGTACTTTGCCAAATGGCAAAGGCATTCGTTAACGGTAACGTGCTCATGAAAAGGGTGTCCGACGGGCCTAGCAATGAGGTTGGGAAATGCCGATGCATAAGGCCGGAACTGTCAATAGTCTGCACTGTGAGATCCCCGATTGATCATAGGGAGGTTAAATGGGGGTACGCTTGGGGGGTTATGGGTGCACGGACCCGCTACACAAACAAGCCCTTTTATCCCTGTGGTCGAGTGGCAGGGATTCTGACATGGTATCAGAGCAGTCTCGGGTTCAAAATCTGGTGTATGTACATACAGGCGGTTGCCGTTGTGCTCATTTCTGGACCTTCCAGTGTGGGGGGGTTGTCAATATATCTGCAATGTGAGATCTCCTTGATTGATCTTAGGGGGGTTACAGGCGGGTACTTGTGGGGGGGTATGGGCGCAGGAACCCGCTACACAAAAAAGCCATTTTATCCTGGTGATCTAGTGGTTGGGATTCTGCAGGATCACGGGCCACCAGCTGAGCAGGGTGGTGCGGTGATTATGGTGGTGGGAACAGTGTCAAGGCAAATGTTGCGAGGGGGTAACGAGCTACTGTTGTGGGTACAGTGGCGGGAATGGTCATGTACACGGTATGCGATATGACACTATGTAAGGAAAAGTTGTTGTAGACATGTAGAGTGTACACAAACATGATGTATTTCGTTTGGAACCTCGTTTGCCGTGCTTTTGCTGGATTCTGCCTGTCCCTGAATTTTGCCGCCTATTCCCAGACCTCGCCCAGGTGCGTAGCGGACGAGGGAAACCTGACATGGAAGGTTTGCCACCAAATCGAAACACGAGGCCTGGTGCAATGCAGCAAGAATTGCTGCGCCGAAAAGTTGCTTCGGAAATTGTCCGTCGAGCCTGTCGTTGTCTCCGAATTCTTACGCAGCGGGCCAGGGGGAGGTCGGTGTTTTTTGCGGGATGCCGTTGACATTTTCGGGTTTTAGGTTCGGATCAAGTGTGGGACCCGATGAGACCCAGGGTGGTTGATATCTCGTCGTAATGTCCTCTCGAAGCCATACATTTTCTACTGCCCGGAAAGGTAATTACAGTTTCCGTACAGCATAGTTTCCGAACATAAAAGGCAGAGGGCGCGCGCACTCAACATTACTGTACCCCACAATAATGCAACATACGATTCTACTGAGGAACACGACAGATATGGTGCAGTAGATTCTCGAATCCCCAACCGAGGGCCAAGCCATCCTTTCGTTACTCTTCCCACGTCTCCATCCACTCCACCACCTCACCCCATCCCTTCCCTTCCATCCAAATCAAGCCATAGCTCACTAGAGTTTAGGTTCCCTCGTTGCTCCTTAGCGTCATCGTTTTTCGAAATTTCCTCGTTAGTTTTTGCTCTATTGACGTGGTGAAGGCATGGATGTTGACGGCGACACTGAGTGGGAATGGGACAAGATGTGGAGGAAACAGCGAGAGGAGGAACGGCGGAAGCAACGGGCAGCCGAACGGGCACGCATAAATTGGAGACGGCACAGCGCGGGTGGCGTAGCAGGAGATTTTTCTGACGAGTGGAAAACGCTAGTGTCACAGGAGGGACAGGAAGGAGCAGCAGTGGAGGAGGACGCCTCGTGCCATCATGTCCCGCTACTGAAGAGTAAAAGCGATCGCATCGCTAGCACGAGCGGCGGTAACATACCGGCCGTTTCCGGAAAAGGCCTCGCGAAGAGCATGAGCGAGCGGATGGACCCGCCGTCGTCGGGCGGCGAGAGCGAGGAATTCCATTTCCACAACCTCCGGCGTGCGCAGCGCAGCTCGTCCATGAGCGCCGGCTTGTTCGTAACTGGTTCTCCCATGGCCGGCCCGTCGGGCGGCGCGTCGTACTTCCCCGCGTCCTGGTCCACCGGCACCTTCAAAGGCCCCCCTGCCGCCACACTCTCCGCCACGTCATCCATAGGGACCGTGCCGCCGAAATCGGGCTCGCATCCGTCGTTTGCTCCGTGGCGAAGACGGAGCGAGAGTGTGGGAAATATGGACCTGATCGCGACCCCCAGCTCTATCTTCCTGCCTCGCAGCACCAGCGATTGTTTCGACGTCGCGAACGTGTCGCAGCTGGGTAGGTCGGGAATGTCAGCCGTCGCAGCAGCCGTCGCAGCAGTGGACGGCTACGGCCCGATCGATCAGCGGTACGGGCCTAGTGTCGCCAATGTACCTCGCAGCCGCGACGGCAGCGGCAGGCGATTAGCCTCGACGGAGTTACCGCAGCGTCCGGTGAGCGCATCCGCGGAATTTTCGGGGTCGGCATCGAGATTGTCGCGGGGTTCGCCACCTCAAGTCCAGCGGCCGGTCTCTCCGCCGGCTTTCACTCCCCCCATTCCCGTCGCGGAGCCCGTCTCTCCCGATTCAGCAGAACCCGATATTAGCTTTCAGGCTCCGTACGCTGACGTGGCCGTGGCGCCTGCCGTGGTTGGCGCTGTCGGCGTGCAACGGCTATCGCTGCAGGTGAACCGACTAGAGGTCCACACGGACGGTGTCGGCAGCCGAGATGGCAGTCCACGTGGCAGTCCACGTGGCAGCTATGGAAGCCCGGCTAGTAGCTGCGGCGCCAGTCCACGTACCGGCTGGTCAGGCAGTCCGCGTGGCAGCTTCTTCGGCAGTCCACGTGGCGACAGCCACGGTGGCACGCAGCTGAACAGCGGGCAGAGCAGCAGGGAAACCAGCCCCAAAGATCTTCAGGAGATTAACTCCTTCGAGACAAACCACTTCCCGGCGGCGAGAGTAGGCAGCCGCGCGGGAAGCCACGCGAGCAGCGCCGCGCACAGCTTGTCGGGGAGTGTCACGAGCAGCCCGAGGGGCGTCAGCTGCGGCTACAGTGCCCCCTGGGAGCTACCTGGCGCCGGCGATATCATCCGCTCCCCCGTCGCGCCGCCCACAACGCAGGCGGCGCGCAGCAGCGGGCAGCCAACCATTCAAGAGCTTCTAGACGCGCTTAAAGCCATCAGCCCGGACGCCGCGCTCGAAAGCGCCGCCGCTGCCGTCGCCGCGGCGACTGCTGCGGCCGTCGCGTCGATGCCGCCCGGCATGTCCATTCCCCTCCCAACCATTTCCCCGTCCGTGTTATTAGCTCCTATCGCGGTTCCAATAGCGGGAGAAGGCGAGGCGTTGGGGCACAGGCTGAGCGGCGGGTTGGACAGCGCGAGCCGCCCGGGTTCGCCACTAGCGCCGGTGCCGGAGGTGCCGCACGAGGAGGAGCGGGGGGGTGGGGGGATCCCCGCGGTTTTCCGCGCGTGCGGTTTTTCCGCCTTCGTTCTCGTTAAACCACTACCTGCAAGACGACGACGACGGGGAACCGCTGGAGGAGGGGGAGGGGCAGGGGGAGGATGGGGCAACGGGTGTGGGGAAAGTGGGGGAAGCGGGGGAGAAGGGGGCAATGAGGGAGAGGGGGAAAGGGTCGGAGGATGGAGAGAGGCAGGGAAAGGAGGCAGTCGAGGCGCAGGAAGCGGAAAACGGAAGTGGGAGAGGAGGGGCGCGGAGGGACGGAGATACGTCTGGTGTGGCGGCCGAGGGGACGGGGGAGGCAGGCGGACGAGGGGGGAGGAGAGGGGACATAAGAGCGGAAAAGCAGAGCAGCAGCGGGAGTCATAGGGCTGATGCCGGGGCCATGGTCTCAAGCCATGGGCGCGTTATGGTCAACAGCGACAGCATCGGCAGCAGCGGGAGCAGCAGCAGCAGTGGTAGCAGCAGCAGCAATAGCATCCCCGTGCTGAGTCCTTCAAGCAGCATGGGCGTGGGCGGAGACGGGCAGGGGGACGCGCCCTGGGCCGACCACGAATACGACAGGCGCAGAGCCGCTCATACCACTGCTGCTGCTGCCGCCGCTGCTGCTGCTGCTGCTAGTGCTGCTGCTGCTGCTGCTGCTGATGATGATGATGATGATGATGATGATGATGATGATGATGATGATGATGATGATGATGATGATGATGATGATGATGATGATGATGATGATGATGATGATGATGATGATGATGATGATGATGATGATGATGATGATGATGATGATGATGATGATGATGATGATGATGATGATGATGATGATGATGATGATGATGATGATGATGATGATGATGATGATGATGATGATGATGATGATGATGATGATGATGATATGATGCTGGCGGGGAGGTTGGGGGCGGAGGGGGCGAAGCAGAGGGGGAGGAGGGGGGGATTGAGGAGGCAAATGGCGCGGGCGCGGAGGGCGCGAGTGCAAGGGGTCCGCACGTGTGGAAGGCGGGGCCTGGGCTGGGGGAGCGGCGGAGGAGCTTTGACGTGCGCGCACTGCGGAAACCAGAGGAGGGGGAGGCGGAGCAGAGGCGCGCGGGCGGGAGGAGCGGGCGCGGGGAGAGCTGGGCGGAGGTGGATTGGCTGGGGCTGGAGTTTGGCGCGTGGCGGGGGGAGGACCTGGGCGGATTCACGTGGGAGGAAGCGGAGGCTGTGTGGGTGGTGGAGAGGGCGGGGGGGAAGACGACAGGGGGAGGGGGGAGTGGCGGGGAACAGGTGAAGGGGGAAGGGGTGATTGTGGGGCGGCAGGCGAGGGGTAATACGGGAAGCAATGAGGGGCGGGAGAAGGTGAGAGATGGGATTGGTGACCTGGGGAAGGGGAGGGAGGGGAGGGAAGGGGAAGAAGAAGTGAAGCCGGGCATGGGCAGCGGTGGGCAGGAGGGTGGGGAGGCAAGCGGAAGGGGATTGGAGTATGGGGGGAGTGGGGCAGGAGAGAGCGATGGGGAAAGAGTGGATAGCACGGAAAAAGGTGCGGGAAGGTGCGAGGATGTGCAAAGCGGTGGCAGTGTAGAGAAGGAGGAGAAGGAGAAAAAGGAAGAGGAGGAGAAGGAAGTGTTGGTGGGGGAAGCAACGAGGGGCAGGCGAGCGCGGGCGCTGTTCCCCACGTGTGTGTCGTTGAGCCACTACCTGAGCGACCCCTCCCAGGGCGATGACGATGAGCCGCTGGAGGACGTGGCGGGGGACGGGGGGAAGGCCGCGCATGGGCACCACGGCGCACATGGGGGTGCTGCTGAGGAGAGGCACGACGGGGAGGGGGATGGGAAGAGAGCGGGACAGGGAGATGGGAAGGGTACAGGGCGGGTGGGGAGTGCAAGCGGAGGGGTAGATGGGTCGGGGTTGAGCCAGGGGGCCGGTGTGCTGCCTGCTCGTGCCCCTGCCCCTGCCAGCCTCCGTTTCTCACCCTCCAAGCCGCCTCGCCCATCCCCATCTCCTCCCTCCCATGCCGCCCCGCCTCGTCCCCTCGTCCCTGCTCCCACCACGGCCTCTCAGCCTGCTGCCGCCGCTGCTGCGGTACCATCACCGCCCCCGCCGCTCCCACCGTCCGCGCCACCGCCGCCTGCTGCTGCTGCTGCTGCACCCGTGTGGGCTTCTCCCGGGGACTGTGTGGCCCACATGGACGCGTTCCTCAGGTGCGCCTCTCTCTCACTTGCACATGCACATGCACATGCACATGCACACGCACATGCACATGCACATGCACATGCACACGCACACGCACACGCACATGCACATGCACATGCACATGCACATGCACATGCACATGCACAAGCACATGCACATGCACATGCACACACACATGCACATGCACATGCACATGCACATGCACATGCACATGCACTTGCACATGCACATGCACTTGCACAAGCACACGCACATGCACACGCACAAGCACACGCACATGCACGCGCAAAAGCACACGCACACCCACACGCACATGCACATGCACATGCACATACACATGCACACGCACATGCACATGCACATGCACACGCACATGCACATGCACACGCACATGCACACGCACATGCACACGCACATGCACATGCACATGCACATGCACATGCACATGCACATGCACATGCACATGCACTTGCACACGCACATGCACTTGCACATGCACTTGCACATGCACATGCACACGCACACGCACATGCACATGCATGGAAACGTAGCATCTTTCAAGTGACATACACGCTTTTTACTCTGCTCTGTTGTAGAATGTTTCGCCAAGCCTCCCCCTTATAGCGTCCCCGCTCTTGTCTATCCCTCTTACGCAGAGCTTATCCCATTCCCTTCCTTCTCCTCCTATCCTGCCCCTTGGTTTGTCACCACACCAGAAACTTCCTGGATCTTTCAGCCACGCCTTTCCTCTCGCTCGCACTACCCGCTGCCACCATCGTGAGCTGTAACGATGCCACGTGTCGCACACTGGGATGGCCACGTCAGCAGCTGCTCTCCCGCAAGCTGGCCTCTCTACTCGTTCAGAATCAACCACAGCAGCAAGAGCAAGCCCGTGAGGGCGAGCAACGGCAGGAGGAGGTGATGCAGAGTGAGGGTGGGGAGCAGGAAGCGGACATGGGACACAGGGATAGGCCGGGGGTGCGGCAGCAGGCAAACTCTTCCTTGGATTCCTGGTTGGCTGCTATTATGCGCACTGGGGTTGGGGAGGGCCCCCTTACAGTCACTCTCACCCGACCCAACGGCTTGCCTGCTGTGTGCGCCAGTCTCTTTGCTGCCACCCTGCACCCCTGCTCTCCGCCCTCCCACCCCTCTCAACCATTCCACTCTGCGGGAGCAGGCAGCGATGGTGGTGGCGGTGCAGCAGCAGCAGCAGGGGAGGCCAGGGTGGCCATCATGCTGCAGGTGCTGCCGTGAACCCTCTCCTCTCTGCCATGCGTGCACACAAGTCTGCGGATTCACATGACTGACTGCACCTCACAGGAACGCACAGCTCACAGCTCACAGAGCAACGCGAGGCTTAGCGAGAGAGCAAGCCATGCCAGGGATCGGCACTGCTGTACAGGAAGGGCAGCGAGGGAGTTGAAATGCTGGCCTTGCATGGGCTATAAGGTAGTCTGGTGTCGCCCTGCCAGTTCAAACTTGCTTCAATATGCATAATGCTGCACAGTTGAATCACCGTTGCTTTAGGATAAATTTTGTTGTATTTATGAAGCCATAGCATGTGGCTGCTGGTCTAGTCCTCAACAACAATCACATGTACGCTTGTACTGATTTCTTGTTCACTGACTGTTTGATTGACCATCTAGTAAAAGAGTCTACTGTAGGTATGTGTCGTGGCAAATGGTTGATCATGGCCCACCATCCCAAGACCAGTGTGTCTGCCTACGCATGGCTGGCTTCTATGGTACGCATTGGGTTACCGTCATCGCCCGGATATAAGACATATATGTCTTATCTCGTACACTAGAAAAAATGCTTGGGTTATCTTGTATTTGGGGAGGTTTTGGGTGTCTTATAAGTCTTATAAATGGACAAAGAACCGTTTAGAAGATACCCCCTCGTTATACAATTGCCCCTAATCCTTACACTAGCTTAACTAGTACACAAAAATAGGTGTCTTATAATGAGGCTAGCCTGTTTATAAGAGACACCCGGATAATAGACAACCCCTGTCTACTATTCAACGAAGTCTTATATCCGGGTGATGACGGTATTGCTATCCCACGACGCAGTGCTGTGCTCCTTATTGTGACAATACGGCACAAGGAGCCACTCTCCCACGCTGCCTCACCTTGAAGATGTGCTAGTGAAGCTGCATCATCCCATCTTATCGTTTCTTTCTCCCCTCTTCCCTTCCCACCCTTCCTTCTATCAAGTTATGTACCAATCAATGCACTCACTGGAAAGAGAGATATAGGGGTTATACACAGTCATAGACTGAATGGACCTAGCAAACCTGCAAAGCAATTGTACAGCTAATGCCGCTATCAGTGGCGCCTAGTGCCTGGGTCGACAGCGCCACAGCACCACTCCAATGGCAGCAGCAGCCAGCACAGCAAGCAGTGCCTGTAATGGGGAAACGAACAAGAGAATGGGGAGGATATGAAGGGAATGGCATGTGATCACCACTAGAGAGCGCACAAGGAGACGAGATGCGGCTAGAAAGTAGGCGGATGAGAGAAGGTGCGGACACGAGCCATGAGAGGTGGTGCGGACACGAGCCATGAGAGAAGGTGACACTTTGGAAAGCAGGCTCACTTTGGATTCGGAAGTGAGGCCTGGGTGTTGCTTGGGCGGCAGTGACAGCAGGCGGCGCCACAGGGGCTGTGTTGGCACGAGGCTGACAGCTGTGTACTGCTTGGAGCATGGCACCGGGAGAAGCTGAGTCAGCATGGCGCGGACTGAGTCAGCGCTGAGCTGGCTGATGAGGCGCAGGCGAATGTCCTCCAGTGCCTGGTGGGGCGGCAAGGGAGGTGGACAGTGGACGACGGTGTGGTGAGGAGAATGACCAGTAGAAGACAAGACAACCATCCTGTGAGGTGAGCTCCCTACGACCACTCTTAACAACACCCACCAAAGAGCTCACCTCGAAAGACTCGTCCACGTTGCCCTTGTACAGGCGCGTCTGCTATGCCCACAAGGACTTCTCCTGCAGCCCCATCTCGCGGAAACTATTCGAGTTAAAAAAGGGGGTAAGGGGGAAAATCACCTGAAACGATTCATCCACGTTGCCGTCATACAGGCGCGTCTGGTATGCGCGCACCACACGGTCGAGCCAGAAGGAGTTCTCCTGCAGCCCCATTTCGTGTGCGCGCTGCTCCAACTCCCGCGCCGTCTTCACGTCCTCCTCCTCTGGCCCCTCCCTCTGCACGCGCTCTATCTCCCCCACACTCAGGTCCACCTGGGGGGAATGGGTGGGAGATGAAAGGACGCAGGGCTCATTGCTGACTGAGTGGCGTGGCGAGAGCAGAGAGGAAGCAGGAAGGATGACAGCGGCACAGAGGCGAGAAAGAGAGCACCGCAGCAAACCAGCAGAGAGAAATAGAATCTCGTAAATAACCGCCATTGATAGGAAGTTACTCAAACCCGAGAGCAGACCAACACAGAGGCCACCAGAGCGGAGCAGAGCAGATTAAATCAGAGTGGAGCAGAGCAACGCAGGGAGCGTACGAGCGACCAGGCGGTGGCAGGGTCGCAGGAAAATGCGACTGCCAGGTCCCCCCGCACGCCACCCTCCAGACAGCATGGTGATTGAAACTAGAGAGGAAGCAGAGAGTTTAGAGAGCAATGCAGAGCACAGGGGGGAGCGTACAAGCGACCAGGCGGTGGCAGGGTCGCAGGAGAATGCGACTGCCAGGTCCCCCCGCACCCCGCCATCTCGTGATGGGCGCGCCCCCCCCAGGAAGGACGAGGCCGACACCGTGTAGATCTGCAGTGCGAATTGGCAGGGGGAGGCCCGCCGGGGTGGGGTGGTAGGGGGACAGGTGGCAGGGATGGGGCAGAGGCGGACAGGAGTGGGTGCCAAGGACAGGTAGGGGCCTAGGTAGGCGGAGGAAGGGAGCGAGCAATCAAGGCCTCAACAGATTGACTGAGAGGCAGAGCAGGTGCGAGTGAGAGACCTGGCCGTGCTTGAATCGCAGCAGCTGCATGATGCGCGTCTCCAGCAGCTTCGTGAGGAAGCCCACCCACATCGTCTCCTCCACCTGATGCCGTTTACAGTCAGTCACACAACACAGAAGAAATGCATAATATCCGGACACGGTACAGCCACACTGTGCTTGAGTCACAGAAGACAAAAAACATGTTATTTGGAAAGAAAAGCTATGTTAGTGTGCTGTCACGTGCTGTTCCATTGCATGTCATTGGAGGTGCCTTGAAAATTGTTCCGTTGTGCATGGTGCAGCGCGACATTGCATGGCATGGCACATTTTGGCACTGTCTGTTGCACAGAGGGGCACTCACGACTTTGGGGCCGGCGGGGATGTTGAGGGGGAAGGTGATCTGCGTGTAGCCCTGCGCCTCCACCATCACCCTCCTCACCTCCTCCCTGCGCTCGCCCACCGGCAGCGACACAGCAGAGGGCACAGAGGGCAGTGGGCGAAGAAGGCAGAAGGCAGAGAGATTAGAGGGCGGATAGAGTGGTAGTAAGTGGGATATTCAGAAACAGGTCAGGGCAGAGCAGTTACATGAGCAGCGTAGCATGACGACAACGAGGCAGCACAGTGGGAAGCGGGAAGTTTCGGGATACACTTGTAGCAAAATGGTTCCCACCCCTAGAACGATGCGCACCGGATGAGGGAGTCGGGGAACTTGAAGGGCAGCGCCGTGAGTGAGTCGCGCTCGTAGCGTGGCATGGCGGCTGATGGCGGAGGCACTGGGATGCCGCCCTGGTGTGGGGGATGTGAAGGGGGGACAGAGAGAGGGGATAAGGTGCGGGCTGTGGTGCTGAGGGCACTGAGACGCCGCTGTGGTGTGTGGATGGAATCGCGCTCGTAGCGCGGCATGGCGGCTGATGGCGGAGGCACTGGGATGCCGCCCTGAGGGGTGGGACGTGAGGGGGGGGGAGGGGGTGGCATGGGTGTGGGACGGGTGGGTGGCGTGGCGGAAAAGGTAGAGAAGTAGGGAACTTGGCTGGTTAAGGCAAGTGACTGAGTGAGAGAGAGTGATTCGGCAGGTGAGTAAGTGCATGCATGAGTGGGCAAGTGAGTGTGTGAGTGGTGATAAAAAAGCTGCAATCGCTGCGGTACCCGCGTCCTTCTGCCCACACACATCTACTCACGCACTTGATTTCTGCCTATCCTGCGCCTGCGTGCCTTTCATTGCCAGCCACCTCCCCAGCCACTGCGGGCATCAACCGACCCTGCCCTCACCAGGTACTGCTTGATGAGGGGCAGCGCCTGCTCGAGCTTTGTGCTGCCGACAATGACGGCAGTGAAGGGCGATGGGTCCTTGAACGCCCTCTCGTAGTACTCGCACGCCTTACTGTAATCAACCTTTTTCAGATCCGACTCTGTTATTGGCTGCAAAGGGGAAGACAGGAGGACGTGGGAGATGCAAGGGGAGATGGAGGGCACGGAGGGAAGGGGAACGTGAGTGAATGCAGAGGGAGGGAGGCACGAGGGTGTGACGCACACGCTCCCCTGGGAGCTGCCCGGCCCACACTTTCCCACCGCCACCCTACCCTGCCACTCCCACCTCACCCCTATCCCATCCCCCACCCCACACACGCCGCACCTTGGACTCGTGGCTGCGACCGGAGCTCATCTCACGCACCCTCACCCCTCAATTCCACCTCCCTCCCCCCTACCGCTTCCCAACCCCCACGCCCCGCCCCCCACACCCCCCACAGCACCTTGAACTGGTAGGTGAGGCCGAGGCTGATCCCCCTCATCCCTTCATCCCACCCCTCGATCCGCACCACACCCCAGCGCATGCCTCACATGCCTCCTCCTGCACCGCCCACTCGCCCCAACGTTGCACCTTGAACTGGTAGCTGCGCCCGTAGCTGATCTCCCGCACGCGGTTGGCAAAGGCAGGTCTGCTGCCCGCCCTCCCCCACCCTTCCCTGGCGGTCCCACCCCAATCCCTCACCGTTTGAGGCGCCTTAAGAGCCAATCCCATCCCAATGTCGCACCTTGAACTGGTAGCTGCGCCCGTAGCTGATCTCCCGCACGCGGTTGGCGAAGGCAGTGAAGGGGTCGCGCTGCTGTCCGCGCACGGCCTCGCGCGTCATCTGCTTGATCAGCGCTATGTCCTTCGCCTCCGCCCTGATGCTGCACGTGAACAGCTGATACACCAGCTGCACGTGGGTTGAGGGGGAAGCGCAGGCACAATTGGGGGGGAAGAGGGAGGGCGCGGGCAAGGGAGGGGTGGCTATGTGTCGCTGAGGAGGGAGCAGTATCAACGCCATGTCCTTGGCGTCCACCCTGATGCTGCACGTGAAGAGTTGGTACACCAGCCGCATGCACAGCGCGAAGGGGAGAGAAGAGGCGGTAAGACAAAGGGTCTGATGCCGGGGCAAAGGAAAGCAGAGGCACGAGAAGTTGACTTCGGAGTTGACTGGAAAGCCGCCTTGATGCCTAAGAAGGGTTCGGCAGTCAGCTCACCTGCAGAGCCGTCTCGAGGTCGTCTGGCGAGCACTCCCCCGAGAACACGCGCATGTAGGACGAGAGCTTGCCGCCCACCTCCACGCGCTTGCCGGCCAGCAGCTCCGCCATGACAGCTGGCGGGTGGCCGAATACACCCGCCTCGCCCGCTATGCTCTGCGCCATGGCCGCCGTGTAGTAGTCCGCCTCTGACACCTCTGAGAGACCCCCGTACGCATAGCCTGATATGAGAATCTGTGGTTCGCGGAGGAGGAGGGGCGGATGGGCGCATGGGAGGGTTGAGAGAGCATGCGAGGGTTGCTCTGCGCCATGGCTGCTGTGTAGTAGTCCGCTTCCGACACCTCCGACAGACCCCCGTACGCATAGCCTGATATCAGGATCTGTGGTGGGGAAGCAGAGGCATTGGCGGGTTGGTAGAGATTGTGATGGTGTGCACAGTCGGGTTGAGAGATATTTGCGGACGCGTAGCCCAATATCAGGATCCGCGGAGGGAGGAGGAGTGGCAAGAGGTCACACAAAGGTGGGGAGAGAGCATCCCATGGTTCGGCCTGCAGCATGCCATGGCGATGGTCCGTTGCTTGATGGTCGGAGTAGCGCATTTCCAAGGGACCCCAAAGCGTACCCAGATATCAGAATTCGCAGCAACAGTCCATGGGGCAGGTGAGCCTCGTGGGCACGCAATGCCGTGGGGTGGCGAGCCAAGCAGCACGCCCCTGCAAGAAGCACAACACTGCAAGCAGCACGCCCCTGCAAGCAGCACGCCCCTGCAAGCAGCACAACGGTGCACGGCACAGCGCGCTCCCAGCAGAGCCAACGCAGTGCAGGCTAGCTACCCCAGCAGCACGGCCTGTGAGTACAGCTGCGCGTACTGCAACAGCCCAGGTGGCAGCAGTGCTGACAGGAACGGCAGCGCCTTGCCTGCTGCTGCCAGCACCGCACACAACCCAGCCACATACCCCTGCTCCACCCGCTGCTCCTCCCTCCTTCCCCTCCCCCTCGCTCTCTTTCCTCCTCCCGTCGCCCCATTCCCCCGAGCAGCAACAGTGTAGAGAGGAGAGGGAAGGGGCGGTTGGGCGGTGGGCACGCAACTGCTGGCTGTGGCTGCTCTTGCCCCTCTTCCAGCCTTCAGAGCTGCCACGTCAGCTGCCAGCTCAGCGGACATGCTTGCCACGTGGCAACTGCAAGCAGCGCCAATCGCGGCCAGAGTGTCGAGAACCTCCTGTATCTCCTTCCTCTCCCCTCCCTCCGCTCTCCCCCTCCCATCCCTCTCCCTCCCCCTCTTCTGTCCTTGCCTTAGCCCTCTCTGTGCGTCCCCACCAACACCCCCAACACCACCCCAAGCACCGCCCCCATCCACCCATTCCATCGCTCCTCCTATCCCCTCCTCATCCTCACTCTCCTCTTTATCCTCCTCCTCTTCCTCTCCCCCAGCCCTCACTGCCCTCTCCATATTCCCCAACAGTGCCCCCACGCACGCTCTCACTCCCCCTGAGTGTGCCGGCCGCAGGACCGCCAGCAGTTGTCGCCCCGCCGCCCGCACAGCCGGTGACTTGTCCTGTAGCGAGGCGAGAAGAGACGAGAGGCGCCGCCCGGGGGAGGTGGCAACGAGATGCAGGAGAGACGGAGTGGTGGAGGATGGGGCAGTGGTGGGGGGGTTGGTGACTAGGGTGGGTGCGAGCTTGGGGGCATCTGAGGGCACAAGGAGAGGCTCCTGTAGAGGTGAAGGGGCAATTTGCCTCGTGATACCAGCAGCTGCAGCAGAAGTGCCACCAGCACTGGCAACAGCACCGCCACTGCCACCACTACCAGTAGCAGCAGTGGCAGCAACGACAGGGATGGGTGATGAGGAGAGGAAGCGGGAGAGAGGGTCCCCCCACAGCAGCAGCAGCTGGGAGAGCGATCGGAGAGCCAGCGCTCGGATTGCTGCCACATCATCACTGCATCCTCCAATCAGATGCGAGCACGCCTCAAGTGCCACCCGCAGGGAGGGCGAGGAGGACGGGGTCGGGGCGGATGGGCTTGATGGGATTGATAGGTTCGAGGAGCACGGAGCAGCGGCGTGGGGCGTGGCGATGGCAGCAGCAGCAGCGACAGCAGCGGCTCTCACGGCCCGGTAGTCATCCTCCATGCCCACCACCACCGCCCCCGCTGCTGCCTCCCTCACACACCGCAACCACTTGCTCTCACTGCTCTCGCCCTGCCCTCCCTGTCCCACTTCCTGCTGCTGCTGCTGCTGCCGCGCTTCTTGCTGCTTCTTGCGCTTCGCTCTCCGTCCACCCAGCTGCTGCTGCCCCGAGAGGCTTTGGTGGGAGGGGGTGAGGAGCGGGGGCAGTGGGCACAGGGACGGGGGTGGAGGGTGCTTGAGCTTCTTGGAGAAGGCCTGCAGGAGAGCTGCCTCGCAGGGAGCGGGGGGGAGAGATGGTGAGGGGGAGGAGGAGGCAGCAGGGGCAGGAGGGAGAGGCGGCGAGGGGGCAACAAGGGCAGCTGCGGTGCGGAGCGCAGCGCATCGGACGGCGGGGAAGGGGTCGGAGGCGCGCGCTGAGAGGGAGAGGAATGCCATGTCTGACACCGCTTGCCACGTCACTGCCTGCTGCTGCTGCCGCTTCTGCTGCTGCTGGAGCTGGCGGGCAGTCCCAGTGCCAGTCCCACGCTGGGACGAGGCAGTGACTCCTACGCCTTGCCCGAGACAAGGCTCATTCCCACCACCTTCCACTCCTCTTCCACTTCCCCTTCCCTCCCCGTCTTCCTCCCCCACCAGCAGTGCCACTCCCTCCTGCCGCACCCACGCTGTGACGTGTGGCACCAGCCGAACAGCGTGCAGGCGCACGTGCTCACAGTCGTCCTCCATGGCCTCACACGCCCGCTGCACCACGCCTGCCACTGCTCCCAACAGCACGCCTCCCTCATAGCCTTCACAGCCCTCATCGCTCTCTTCGCTGCCATGCGCCACACCCCTGCCTCCATCCCCCACCTCCGCTCCAAACCCTCCTCGCAGCACCTCCCCCCTCTGCTGCCCTTGAGCAACCCCCTTCGCCCTGTCCTCTCCGCTTCCTCCCTCCCCCACTCCTCCCCCCTCCCCCGCCACCACCAGCCAGGGCACCTCACCCAAGGCCCCCAGAGCTGCAGCACGGACAGATGGCACGCTGTCATTGGCTGCAGAATAGAGGGCAGACAAGAGGAGGCTGGCGTATGCAGAGAGCAGGGAGGAGGAGGGGCGGGGCACAGGCAGCACGTCCCCTTCCCTGCTCCTGTCCTCTCCTCCTTCCCCTCTTGCCCCCCCAACCCCTCCTACTACCCCTTCCTTCCCCTTCACTCCAACTCCCCCTTTCTCTCCTACCACCCTCTCTCCTTTCCTCTCCCCCTGCGCCGTCCCTCCCTTCCTCTTGCCCGATCCGGGCCCTCTCAGCAGGCGAGCAAGGGCAAGCGAGAGGTCACACAGGCGAAGGCGCACGCGGTGGGAGGGGTGGCGGGACAGGTTGTGGAACATAGGGGCGAGCACAGTGGGCGCGAGAGGAGGAGAGAGGAGCAGGTGACTAGCGGCTGGAGACGCAGAGGTGGGAGGGTTGAGAGAGCTGGAAGGATTGAGTGTGTTGAGAGTGACTGTAGCGGAGTGCAGTAACTGCTCCGTGATACACCAGGGGAGAGGGTGACGGGCAGCAGTGGCATCAGTGGGTGCGTTGTTAGGAGGGATGGAGGAAAGGCAGGCAAGGAAGAATGCAGCGGCGTGAGCACTGGCACGTGCTGCGACCGATGCACTCGCCGCACATGAAGCACTTGCAGCAGCGAAGTTCCCAAGGGAGGTGAAACCAGCGATGGCGGAGGAAGGAAGCCTCCCAGATGCTTCCGGTGCAGCTGCTGCCATGCGTCCCAATCCTCTTCCATACTTGATCCACGATCCCACACACGCACATGCGCTTTCACATGTGCACGCATCTGTGCCTCTGCAACCCTGCACGCTTATTCCACCAGCACCACCAACAGCACCAGCAGGGGCAGCAGAAGCAGCAGCGGCACCAGCCCCTTCTTCCCTCGTCAGCTCCAGCACAATCTGAGTCAGCAGCCTGACCACCGACACCGGCACTGACAAGGCACCAACTTCAGGCAGCATTGGCCCATCAAGCCACGTCAGCAACAGCCTTTCCAGCTCACTTCCGGCCGCCAGCAAGAGAAGCCAATTGGCTGAAGCACAGAGCAATGACTGTCTCCCTCTCTCTGCTCTACACTTGCTGCTCTGCTCCTCTGCCCTCTGCAGTGCTGCCTCTAAGCCCCACAGACTGCAATCCACATGGCACACCCCAGCACCGCACAGCACACCCCTGTCTCCTCTCTCCTCCCTTCCTCCTCCACCCTTCATCCCTTCACTTCCACTCCCTCCCCCCCACGCCTCACATTCCACACACCGCAGCCGCTGCAGGCAATGCGCCATCTGCACCTGCCACGGGGCCACGCCCTGCTGCTGCTGCTGCTGCTGCCGCTGCTGCTCGGACCCAGTTAAACCAAGACCCAATGGTGCGGCGCATGGAGAGACGCAGATGCAGCGACGCCGCCAGCGCAAGCAGGCCTCACACGAACACGTGCACGGCCCGCCCTCCCCTGCTCGCACCCGCCCCTCCTCCACGCCTTCTCTCTCTCCCTTCCTCCCCTGCCCCTCCACTTGCATATCCTCTTGCCCCTCCCCTCGCCTTTCCTTGTCCTCTTCTTTCACGTGCTGTGCCCGCCTCTGCTCCCACCAGCCCCACACAGCAACAGGGGGAGGGGAGGTGTGCAGGTGAGCCGGCTGGAGTGTCTACAATGGCTAAAGCGGCTAGAGCGGTTAGAGTGGCAACAGAGGCGCCTCAGCTTGCGGATCAAAGTCGGCACCATCTCAAGGCGGAGCACGGGGCATAGGCCCATCTCCTCCCCCTGCCTTTAGTCGGGCATAACCACTTTCCTTCCTCCCGCCTTCTATATCCTCCTTCGTCACCCTTTCATCAGGCTAGGCCAATCTGTAACCTTCTCCTTCCTCTGCCTCACTTCGCTCCTCTCCCTCCCCTCCTCGCAACCTCTCATTCACTGCAACCCCTCCACTCACTCCTAAGCACGTCTTCCCTCCAACCCATAAGCGTCTCTGCCGCCCTTCACTCCACCAATCCCCCAGACCCACACAAGAGGCGGCCGTCAGCAGGCAGAGGGCGCACAGCAGCAGCAAGGGCCACTGGTGCCATAGGCTGCAAAACCATGAGCAGCACAGCACGGTCGGTGACCACTGGTCATTACACGACAAGAGGTCGCACGTGCTCCACTATGTGTCATCAGAGGCTGAGACGGAGTCTGCCATAAGCAACTCGTGAACATGCCCCGGGTTCATTTCACACAGTCCAAGTCCTTCTCCACATGCATCGATTCATCACCACCAACAGTTGATGCTTGGGCAGTCAGCGGGCAACAGGGAACGATCAACAGGACATGACGTCACTCTCAGCCAGTCAGTAAGGGTGAGCATGAGAGGACGTGTCATCACAGCCAAGTCAACAGCAGTCAACAAGGACGGTCTTCAAGGATACTGGCCCCAACTCGGTGGCTACTCATTACAATGGTCCACAGCAGTCAACCACCTTCACCCATATTGCTGCCATATCAACACCAGTCAACCGCACTCACAACCTCACCTGGTCGTCAAAGATTTCGGTGCATAACATCGCCAAGCGCATGCCACTGGACAGCCGCAGCTCACCCCTTAATGCCAAGTCAGCGCTGGCCAACAGCAGTCAACACAAGTCAACGTAAGCCAACGTCCTCTCCCTCACCTGGTCGTCAAGGAAGTCGGTGCATTTGACTGCCACGCGCATGCCATTGGAGAGCCGCAGCTCCGTCACCCCCACGCCTGGATACTCCCTCTGCTCCTCCACCTCCCTGTGCGGGCGGGAGGAGATAAGGGAAGGAAGGGGAGGGAAAGGAAGAGACAGTGTGGGGAGTGGAAGCTCCGTCATTCCCACGCCCTTATCTTGCACCCCTCATTATCACTCATCCCACCACTCACCCTGCCTGCCACTGCCTGTCATCACGCGACCTGTCACCACGCCCTTATCTTGCACCCCCCCCCCACGAGGCCTGCCACTCACCCCGGAACGGGCGGAGTCTGCACGATGCTCTCGGGAATGTCGTCCAGCGTCCACGGCTCTATCAGCTCCATCGCCTCTTCATCCCCGTCTGCCACTGCTGCTGCTGCGGCCCCCCCCGCTGCACCCTCAGATGCTGCTGTTGTCGTTGCTGTTCCTACTGTTGCTGTTGTTGCTGTTGCTTCTGCCCCCTCTCCTCCCCCTTCCACCCCACCCCCACCCTCCAAACCGCCTCCCGCCTCTTCTCTCCCCTCCCCTCCCTCTACAACCTTCCCTTCTCCTTCCCCCTCCTTCTCACCTCCCTCGCCACCACTCTCAACCACCCCAGCCGATTCCTCCCCATCCTTCTCCCGATCAGCAGCATGAGCAGCCTCCGAAGCAACCCTCCTCTCCTCTTCTTCAACTCGCTTCGCCTCTTGAGCGCGCATGGCAGCGAGAGTGGCCTCTTGAGCGCGCATCACGCGGGCGATGACGCCTTGAATCGCCTGCACGGTGGCCTGCGCCCTGGCCTCCACGATCTTCACCACGCAGCTGCTGCTGGGGGATATCTCCGATGCCACTGCTGCCACTTCTGCTGCTGCGATGCCTGGGGAGTGAGGGGGGCGGGAGGGGGAGACCAAAGGGAAGCGGGTTGGAGTAAAGAGAGGGTGGCTTGCGCCTTGGTCCCCAGCAGCACCTGACCACACCTGAGCGAACCTGGTTGAAGCACACATGATCACAGCATACCTGGCAGCAGTGCCTTGGCGAGTCGGGCTTCGTACTCAATGCCAGGCGAGGGCTCGTCTCGCAAGAAGTGCGCCAAGTACTCCTCCCTCAGCGCCTCGCTGTACGTCTGCTCCCTCTCCACATAGGCGGACTCTATGTCCGCCAGACACTGCACCCTCGCCATCGCCAACTCTCGATCCGAGATGCCGTGCACTTGCACTCGAGCGACCTGGGGGTGGGGGGTGGGAGGAAGGGAGGGGAGAGACGGAGCGGCAGAAGGGTCTGCTCCCTCTGCCCTCCATATATTTCGAGTCCACGCCCGCCACAAACTGCACGTGCGCCATCGCCAACTCGCCATCGGAGACGCCGTGCACTTGCACTCGCGCGACCTGGGGAGAAGCGGAGGAAGGACTCTGGGGCTGCGTCAATTCCTTACAACGCCTCGTCACCTCCAGCTGGGCCCAGAAAGAGCGTGAGCTTAAAGCCTGGACCAGGGGCCCTCGCAGGGACCAGCAACTAGGAACTCACAACCAACAACCCACCAACCACCCCCCCAAACGCACCTCCATCCACAGCGCCTCCAACGCCTTGAGCGTGCCCTTGTCGTGACAATGGCACAAAGCGAGAGAGGCGGGTCAAGGCGGGTGGCAGTGCCCGTTGTTGATAGCATAGCACTACACGCATGTGATACTGACCAGCGGTAAAGGAGCAGCGCACCCGCCCCACTCACCTCCATCCACAGCGCCTCCAACGCCTTGAGAGTGCCCTTATCCTGGCAAGTGGCGCTGAGTGAGAACGATCGGGTGGACTTGACAAGAGACTCCACCGTGGCAGCAGCGGCATAGAAGGGCGGGTTGGGGCGGCGCGAGAGCAGGAAGAGGCGGTGCGAGAGGGCGGCCTGGAATAGCTCCTCCACCAGATACTGCCTGTAGTCCCACGGGGTCACCATTGGGTGCACTGGCGCCTTGCACGTCACCATCACTGCTGACTGGGAGGAGGGGATGGTGATGAGAAGGACAAAGGAGAGAGGGGTTAGGTGAGACGTGTGCGGCCTGGAATAGCTCCTCCATAAAGATTCTGCCTGTAGTCCCAGGGGGTGACCATGGCGTGGATGGGCGCCTTGCACGTCAGCATCACTGCTGGCAGGGCAGGGAGGCGAGGGGATACGGGCGGTGAAAGAGAGGAGAGCTTATCACGGCGCTCCAAGAGAATTGAGTGAGTGCAAACAATATAGGAAAGCATGGAGGATGGGTGCGGCAGCAGCAGCAGCAGCAGCAGGAGCAGCAGCAGCAGCACTCCTACCCACACTCTGCTGTTGCACATCCATCCACACCCACACCTGACCCTCCCATACTCACCCCGCCAGCCTCCCTCTCAACAAAGACGGAGAAGCGCGGCTGTGCGTGTGGGTGGAAGGGCTCCTCCGGCACTGAAGGGCGCGCCTACTTGCACACGCACACACATTCGCCACACTTCCTTCTCCCAGCCCCACCACTCAAACCCACGCCTGGCTCTCCCCAGACTCACCCCGCCAGCCTCCCTCTCAACGAAGACGGAGAAGCGCGGCTGTGCGTGTGGGTGGAAGGGCTCCTCCGGCACTGCAGGGCGCGCAGAGGGGCAGAGCGGCAGCTTGGCGGCGAAGTGCTCCGCTATCAGGTCCACCACTGCCTGTGAGGGGGGGGGGGAGGGGAGGGAGAGGGAGAAAAAGGGGAGTGACGGGGGGATGAATGGGGAAGGAGGGGAATGAAGGGGGGGCAGAGTTGCAGCTTGATAGGAAAGTGTTTTGCAATCAGCGCCACCACTGCCTGGTGGGGGGGGGGGGGGGGGGTAGTGGAGCAGGGGGTGCAGGGGAGGGGTGATGGAAGCAAGGAGCAGGACAAAGGAACGCCTCTGGTCACGCAGGACAGGGCGTGTAGACCATGCGCAACAAATAGAACTGTGCATGCCGGCCAAATGCCCCACAAGCCCCATGCGCCATGCCTTAACAACACACCTGGGCATCAGGAAAGTCCCCCACAGCAACCACGGCCATGTTAGCGGGGTGGTACCACGTGTGGTAGAAGCGCTTCACTGCCGCTGCTGACACTCCGCGGATCACCGACTCCAGGCCAATGGGCAGCCGCTCCGCGTACTGTGGGAGACGCAACGACAGTGATGGGAAGTGCATTCATGGGAGGTAGTTCAGGTGAAGGTTTTGAGTACATGGGATAAGCTTGTGTTGAGGGCTGGGCGGCGGCTTGTGGGAATGAGAAGAGTGAATTTGGGAGGTTGCGAGATGGAAGAGACAGCAATGGATCTGCAAGTATGGTGTAAACAGAGGCCTCTCTGACTGTATAAACCCCAAACCAGAAACCTTACGCCCCACAAATCGCACCTTGCTGCCGTGCATGAGCAGGTGCCAGTGTGCGTCCTGCATGCGCCCCATGGCGATGCGCCTCTCCCTCTTTTCCCATAAACCCTAACCCACCACCAGACCAAAAACCCAAATCCCGTAACCCTTGAACGGCCCTCACCTTGCTGCCTTGCATGAGCAGGTGCCAGTGCGCGTCCTGCATGCGCCCCATGGCGTTGCGCCTCTCCCGCCACTCCTCCAGCACCGCGCCCCTCTCCTTCTCCACGTCTTCCTCCGACACGCGGATCTGCAGCAGGGGAGGGCGCACATGGGGGAGGGCGCACATAGGGGAGGGTGGACTCGGCGTGCAGCAGCAGCTCGGGCTTATCCACGGGGAGCAGCACTGCAGCTAGGAAAGCAAAGGATCCCATCCCATTGCACCAGTCCCCCCTGCTCACCTCGCTGGCAAAATCAGCTAGGATGGAGACAGCGTGGGGCAGCAGCTCAAGCTTATCCACGGGCAGCTGCTGCAAGAAAGACCCTAACTCCCATCCCATGGCACAAGGCCCCTCCTTCCCACCTCACTCCGAGTCCCATTGTGCTGCTCACCTCACCCTGCAAGGTCAGCCAGGATTGGCGTGAGGCAGCAGCTCGGGCTTGTCCACGGGCAGGTGCAGCTCAAACACCGTCTCGTCCGCTGTTGAGGCGCCTCAGAAACAGCCCCCCTGCTCACCTCACTCGCAAAATCCGCGAGGATGGACACGGCATGCGGCAGCAGCTCGGGCTTGTCGACGGGCAGCTGCAGCTCAAACACCGTCTCGTCCGCTGACGTGTACGCGTTCTGGCACGCGCCGAACTCCGCCCCGATGCTCTCGAGGAAGCGCACGATGTCATGGTTGCTGTAGCGCCGTGTCGCGCTGAAGGCTAGGTGCTCCAGTATGTGCGCCACTCCTCGTTCTGCTTCCTCCTCTGCCAGGGACCTGCAGGGCCGTGAGTGGGGATGGGGGGAGATTTGAGTGTGCTCTCGAGGAAGCGCACGATGTCGTGGTTGCTGTAGCGCCGTGTGGCGCTGAACGCCAGGTGCTCCAGTATGTGCGCCACTCCTCGTTCTGCTTCCTCCTCTGCTAGGGAGCTGGCAGAATGGGGGAATGGCGGATGGGGGAAGGGGGGTGGGGGATAGCGGAGGGGGGAACGCGGAGCGGGAAGGCGGATGGGGGATGGCGGATTGCGGGATGGGTTAATAGGGGGAGGCGGATGGGAGAAGGCGAATGGGGAAAGGGAATGGGATATGGCGGAAGGGGGATGGCGGATGCAGGACGGCGGATTGCGGGATGGCAAATGGGGGAAAGCGGATGGGGGAAGGCGAATGGGGGAAGGCCAATTGGGGAATGCGGATGGCGGATGACGGATTGGTGGAAGGTTGGGCGGCGGATGGTGGATAGCCGGAGGCAGTAGAGAGTTGGGGGAAAGGAATGGGGAAAAACCGCTTCTGAGAATGGTTTAAGTCTCTTATTCCTTCCCGACCCACTCCCCCTCCTCACTCCGCTCCCCCTCTCAACCCCTCCTTCGAGATCCCTCCGTGCTCTTTCGATCCTCACCCAACGCGGACAGCCAGCGCAAGCGCGGCGCGGTGCTGCGGCTTGCTGTTGCGGCGCACGTAGTACGTCACGCCGTTGTCGAGCCGCCCGTGCAGCACCGCGCCCTCCGGCCCCAGCGGGATCGCCGCATTCCGCGACTCCTCGCTCCTCAGATCCAGGGGCTTTAGCGAACGAAACGACGACACGTGTCCGGCTCCTCCGCTTCTGCCGCTCATCCCGCCGCTGCTGCTTCGTGTGAGACTCAGCCGAGTGACGTCAGGTAAAGGTGAATCTAACGAGGATTCTGGATGCCGGGGGGGTGATGTTGACGTCATGATGACGCCAGCCGCAGGATCTAGAATGTTGGAACCGAATCTCTCAAGGAGACGAATTGGTTAAATCCTGAAGTCGGTAGCAATGACCGACAGAAACCCAGCTTGGGAAAAAGTGACGAGTAACGAAGGAACGTGCAGCGGCTCACTGGTCGCAATATGCAGACGCCGTGCTGGAACGGGCGAAAGACGGCAAAAGGACGGGCTTACAGTCGGGATGCTGAGATGAATGGACTGACTGAAGCGATAAACCGCAACCAAGGATCTCTCCCATGTGAACGTTGTTCTCCCTGCAGGCCGGCCCTGTAAAAGGAATCAAGAGCTGTGCATCATTGCAGCTTCTTACAAATTTTAAAGAATAGTCTTTCAGATCCAGTGGATGCATCTATACAAGGAAATACAGTATCATTTTTGTGTGATTGCTTTGCCGAAGGATGGTTGTACCCGTTTTAGAAGTTCAAACGGCCAAGCACGTGGGCTAGGGTTTCAAAGCCTTCCATATATCTATTCCATTCACCGCCCCAATCCAACGGCTCATCGGTTACTTCGCTAGGCTCGAATCTGAGATCTGGCTGCTTCGTCCAGCTCAAATGTTGCAAAAAGGAGCACCTGGGGTTTCCAAACCTGCTGGTCTGGTTTCTCCCCTTCATCCGTCCGTCCGTCCCAACTGTCCCTCCTCATCCATTGCTTCACGCTCAACCGCTCCCTGCTTCTAGGCTCAAAACGCCATTGATCGCCCGCCAGTCGCCGCATCTCACTCGTCCGTTTACCTCCCTAGCTTGCATCTCAACGTCCTGCAAAACTTGGACGCCCTCCGCTCGCCTCTCACAGTTCAGAGTTTCCCAGTTCAATCTGATTCGTTGCTCTTCCCAGAGGTACGCACTACCACTCGTTTCGGTTCCCCCATGATAGCACCAGTTACGATACCTAGATTTGGCAAACTATATATTCAGTCTGGCAGCCGTTACTCTAGTTCTCCTGTACTTTTGGTTTATCGATGCGCCTTACCTCACGTCGCCGCAACTTTTTTTTGGTCCTGCAGTCGTGCCTAGTCTGCATGAACACTCTTCACACTTGGCACGTACATGGTTGATATGATAGTATTCTTGTCGGCGACGCGGTTCAGCGACATTCCATCCGTACAACCGTTGAGTAATTATTTTGGACATCCATCGGTTTTATTGTTGCTGAACTCTACGATCCGTGTCCTGGTTTATTTTGGCAGGTCATTCGCCGACCAAGCAGACGTTCAAGTCAACGAGGTTGTTCCACTACGTTTCGGTGGTCAGTCAGTGAAAGTCTTGGATCATGGCGCAGCAGCCTGGTATGATAAATATTCCCGGTCAGCCTGGCCAGATGGCATATGCTGCTGCGATGGGTCAACCTACAATGGCTCCTCACATGATGGCACAGTACCAGACGAACCCCTCTTCAGCAGCCGGTGTTGCTGGATCCGTGCCTGCTGCTCAGGTGGGGTCGCTACCCGCTGGCGCTCCTGGGTACCAGCCTCAGGCGCTGCAGCAGCAGTTGCAGTATCAGCACCTTCAGCAGCAACACCAGCAGCAGCTGCAGAGCTTCTGGCAGCAACAGATGCGTGACGTGGAGCACGCTAATGATTTCAAGAACCATCAGCTTCCGCTCGCTCGTATCAAGAAGATCATGAAGGCTGACGAGGACGTTCGGATGATAAGTGCAGAAGCGCCTGTGGTCTTCGCGAAGGCTTGCGAGATGTTTATTTTGGAGCTCACCCTGCGTTCCTGGATCCACACCGAAGAAAATAAGCGTCGTACCTTGCAGAAGAATGACATTGCTGGCGCTATAACGCGTACGGACATTTTCGACTTTCTGGTAGACATTGTCCCTCGTGATGAGTTGCGTGAAGAAGGAGGCGTGGTAGGAGCCGTTGGGGTCGGGGCTGGTGCAGCGGCCAGCGCTTTGGGTGCCGTGCCTCGCCCACCTGTAGGTATGCCTGGCACCGCAGATCTGCCGTTTGGTGGCATGTATTATATGCCACAGACTGCTGCTCCAACTGCTGCCACCATGCAGCAGCCTACTGCAGCCATTATGGCACAGCATCAGATGATGGTCAACAGGCATGCTATGGGAATGGATCCTTCCCTGTACGGCCAGCAGCAGCAACAACAGCAGCAGCAACAGCAGCAGCAACAGCAACAGCAGCAGCAGCAACAGCAGCAGCAACAGCAGCAGCAGCAACAACAGCAGGCCCAGGCTGCCCAGCAGCAGCAGCGGACTGCAAACGCCATGGCAGGGATGGGTTACATGCAGCAAATGCCTCAACAGATGTGGCAGCAGCAAGGAATGCCACCTCAGTGATTCGTTGCTATAACTGATTAGCATTGCATGCCTTGATTTGCCAAGGGAAGGACTTTGAATGATTTCTTGAGTTGCTTTTTAGCTAGGTCCAGCCAGGTGTTTGTACAAAACCACTTGTTAGTTCCTTGCACCATTTGGAGAAGTATCGTTTACCTAACTAATACCGTAGTCACATATATTTTTCCACACACTGCTCACTAGTTTTGGTTGTTTAGTTGCTAAGTAAATTGTGTGTAGCTGTTCCACTTTGCGGCGGACGACCCATATGAGCCATGAAATTGCCTCATGAAAGTGCGCAGTATCGCACCTATCTCTACCGAATCCTCTTTACAGGCCCTTCCCGAATCGGAATTGTGTACAGTAGGCCCCACACAAGCCCCAGCGCAGACCCCATCAGACATCGCGCTTCGCCGCTTCCGCCGCCCTTGAGGAGAAGGAACTTATAGAACGCGTTCCGCACAGCGGTTCATGCTGACTCCCGCGAGTGTGACCACTAGCCGCAACCAAACTGGATCTTGAAACAGATTGTGCACCGCGTTCGGGCGCAACAGATTCATTCTCCCGCACCCGCATGACTTTCTTGAGAACTGAACAGGCCCTGAAGTTTCCTGCTTGTCCTTATGGACCCCCAGATCATAAAGCCCCTACAACGTCAAGGTCGGTGCGAAGCGGAACTCTTCCTCGAATCGAAGAATTCATGGTTGTCTCCCATACCTCCGTCCGTCTTCAAATCTGCTGCGTGTTTCGGCGTTGTATCGCGTCCGTAACCCGTTCTGGCTCGTTCTTCTGCTCGCCTGCTCCTCCAGGTTCCTCTGCGCACATTGAGAAGCGATGCGGCTCGCAAAATCCTCACTCTCCTAAAGTCGCCATCCGACATCGTAGTAAGCGTTACGTGATGCAGCCGCTCTTGTTTCGCGCTGCAGAAGTTTCACCTCCGATATCGATCGTCCCCGTTAAGAACTTGCCCGCTTTGTAGCAATAGCTCTACCTGCAGTCTAGATTATTCGCCACGCTAGATTCCACAGACTTCAAACACCGTAGACAACCGGATTAGATGGTCGAAGACCCTCAAAACTACATCCGGAACTGTTTGTGATCTGTAAATCGCATTTCTACGCGTTAGATCGTACGACCATGCGACGCCTGGGCGCGCGTGCGACAGAATCGGCGACACAGCAGCGGCGAAGGCACAATCAACAGTCGTGGATGAAGCAGCACCGGAGGAAGAGCGATAACTCATGGCCGGCACGTCTTCTAGTGTCTTGCCTGATGACTGCCGCTTTGCTGAGCGGGTCTCGCGGCGCAGTTGACGGCGGGAATCGCGCAGGGTATCAGTCAGGCTCCAGTGAGTAACCACGCAGTAAAAACCTTTTGTAAGCACTTATTTATGAAGGTTGCGTCAGAAAAACTGAACGAAACAGAACGAAACCTTGTCCCGGTAGAAACGAAGGCACTCTTTGCCTTCCCCTTCACACCCATCAGAACCGTTCAAGCCTCTCCTCCGTACCCCTCTCCGGCTCTTTCCAAATTTCGTACCCTCTTTCCCTTCACTCTTCCCCTCTTCATTCCCTCCCTCTTCCCCTTCCCCCTTCCCCCATCCCCTTCACCTTCCCCTTCCCCCTCCCCTTCCCCTTCCCCATTCCCCAGCAGCGCCAGTCAAGCCTCCACCCCAGCGCGCGTGGAACTGCACCATTTCCCGCGGCTTGTGGGTGCCTTCCAGGAAGCTTCCGAGGTACAACGGCTTATCCTGTCCGTTCATCCGGTCGTCGCACAACTGCCGGCGGCAGGGGCGGACGAACTTTGACTATCAGAAGCTACAGTGGTGGGTAAGTTGAGGTGACTGGACTTGCTGAGCCGAGGCTGATTCAAAACAGCGGCAGTGGCGGGCGAGTTTCAGTGTCAGAAGCTGGATGGTGAGTTGGAAGCAGTAGCGGCGGCAGGGGCGGACGAGCTTCGACTATCAGAAGATGCAGTGGTGGTAAGTTGGGCCTTGGGTTATTTCAGCTCATAACAACAGCGACAGCACCAACTCTAACTCGGACGGACGGATTTTCAGTACCAACTCTAGCTTAAAGTTGGCTGGTGAAGTGTGCTGAGTCTGGCTCAAAACAGCGGTAAGGGTGAACGGACTTGGAGTATCAGATCAGAACCTGCCCGGATGGGTGGGTTGGGTCTCAGATTGACTCATGACAGCAGCGGCAGCAGGGAGAGACGGACTTTTGCGGCGGTGGATCTGGAAAATTTCGTCCCAAAAAACCCCGCTCATCTCCTCCTCTTCCCCCTTCTCTCTCTCCCCCTTCTCCTCCCTCTCCCCTTCGCCTCCCTCTCCCCTTTCTCCTCCCTCTCCTTCTCCACCTTCTTTTCTATCTCCCCCTTCTCTTCCCTCTCCCCCTTCTCCTCCCTCTCCCCCATCTCCTCCATCTCCCCCCTCTCCCCCACTCCCCCATCTTCTCCCCCTCCCCCTCTCCTTCCCTTCCCCCACTCCTCCCTCTTCACTCCCCACCAGCCCTTTGCGTGCACGGTGTAACTCCCAGCCCCACCTCGTCTCGGACAGCAGTTTAAAAACAACCTGGCGGTGGAGTTTGAGGGTCCGTCGTTAAGTAAGAACCTGACGGATTCCGTTTGATGCTGAAGAAAACAACAACCTCAATCTCCTCACTCTCCTCCCTCCCCTTCCCACCAGCCCATTGGGTGCAAAGTGCAACGCCTCACCCCAGCTCGTCTCGTGCGGCAATTCAAGCACAAGCTGGTGGTGGTGCTTGGGGATTCAGTCTCCAAGAACCCGACCGTTCTGTATACGAGCTCAACCCATCTGCACCCCTCTCCACTCCCCACCAGCCCATTGGGTGCACAGTGCAACGCCTCACCCCAACGAGTCTGGTGCAGCAGTTTAGGAACAAGCTGGTGGTGGTGCTGGGGGATTCACTCCTTAAGAACCTCACCAATTCTATTCCTCACCATTAGGTATCAAACAACCTAGATCCCCCCCCACTTCTCCCTCTCCTCTCTCCACCAGCCGATAGGCTGCACAGTACAGCGATTAACCCCAACGCGCCTGGTGCGGCAGTTTAAGAACAAGCTGGTGGTGGTGCTGGGGGATTCGGTCTCCAAGAACCTCGCGGACTCAATCAAGTGCACGCTGCACGCCGCCACGCCCCGATCCATCAAGACATTCCGCCTTGCCAGTGGAAAGACCGAGCTTGCAGGGACATGGGTGAGTGAGTGTTTGCACGTCACGTGGTTTGCCATGCACGCACGAGCAACGCGATTCTGCCGCCTCATTCCTTATTTTTGCAAACCCCTCAACCACCCTCCATACCACCTTCCCTAACCACCACATTCATAGCCAGCCACATTCTTCACACTCCTATCCCACCACCCTGCTCTCTATCCCCGTTATTAGATCCCTCGATACAACATCCGGTTCGTGTCGGTGTTCTCAACGCACCTCAACAACGCCACGACCCTGGAGGGCCAGCCCAACGCTCAAGACATCAAGGCGCTGTGGCAGCAACCCGACAGCACGGAGTCAACAGGGGGGAGAGGCACGGATACAAATGGCACGGCCGAGGGGATTGCAAGGAGTGCTGCTGACAGGGTGGAGAGGATTGAGACGATGGCCAATCAGCAGTCACAGCGCATCCACCTGGACCAATTGGATCCGCGCGTTGTGGATCTCCTGCCAGTGGCCGATATCGTCATTTTCCAGGCAAGCTGGTTCTGAGGCGACCACTGGAGCCACTGTTGACATCTTTCAAAGTGACTTCAAGTGGATCAAAACGTTGTCGCATCGCACATCCAGCACTGACATTGTTCACGCACGCCAAACCATCCCACCATTGCATTCTCACAGGCGACTAACTGGAGATGCTCCTCCTCCAGCCACTACTGCCTCAGGAACCGCCAGGTCAGCATGACCTGCTCTTCCACACACACGCTTCAGAAACGAGTCTCTCTGTCCATCCCAAAACATCTTTTTGTTTTGCAGGCGACCAACTGGTGGTATTCACCCTTGAACCAGTACTACCTCAAGAACCGTCGAGTGAACCTGACTCGCAACGCCGCATACGCCCTCGGTCTCACCACTCTAAGGGACTATGTAACCCGCTCGGCCTTAGCAGCCACTCGTGGTTTGAAGGGGTTTAAGGGGAAGGCGGTGCTGCTGGGGGCGTCGCCCTCCCATTACAATATACCCGTGCCTGGGGTCAAACCGGGGTTCTGTGAAGTGCAGGAGATGATGACGATGCCGCAGGTGAGCGGGTGGGAGAATGACGTGGCATGAGGTAAGAGGATGGGGAGGTGACGTGGCATCAGGAGGATTGTGCCTGCCAGAGGAGACGAGGATGATATTACTGGTTCCATTTCCAGGACACAACCTAGGTTGCAAGAGGTGGAGAGTGCAAATTCCCCCAGAAATGTTCCCTGCCCATTCCGAGCATGCTTTCACAACCCATCCCCATCGATGATTTCTGTAGTCTGACACTTTAGTATGCCAACTGCTCTTTTTCAATGACCTTAACTCCCCATGTGGTGATCCCACTTTTCTCGTGTCGCACTGGGAATCCTTACTTTCCTCTCCTTTTCACTGCATTCCCTTCCCCCTTCAGACGGTTGAGTTCCGCAGAAGTGATGTGAAGACGAACGTGTTCAGAGACATCCAGAGGCGCGTGCTGAGGAACTCGGTGATTCGCTACGTGGACGTTGGGCCGATGAGTGACTGGCGCCCGGATGGGCACCTGCAGAACTGGATAGTGGTGACAAGTGAGTGATCTCATATGCTGTATGTGTACGGTATGCTTGGAATAGCATCAGTTTTGCAATTTGGGATGTGGATGTGGGCGGTGTTTGATTTGCAGTCTAATGACATGTTCCTTACCATCCAAGGCTCACACAACCAGCCACATGATCCAGCTAGCCCCAATGGGCACTTGCATAGTCCGCCTAAGAAAGAGTTTAGATGCTTGTTGTTTTGGGGCGTCTAATAAACCACTCTAATTGTGCTGCTTGCTCACCCCGCAGGTGGGTCGACCAAGAAGAATGACTGTCTGCACTGGTGTGAGGCAGGGGTCACGGATGCGTGGCTAGAGATGGTCCACAATACACTACTCTTTTGATATGCAATGTTGTCACCTCCCCCGTGAAGGCACCTCGAGGAAGTGTACTAGTGGAGTTAGCCTGAAGGCTCTTTGTGAAGTGTTGTACAGTGCTGGAGAGATTAGAGGAGCACAAGCACAAGCTTGAGCATTCACATCCCCAGCAGCACGCTTTTCTGGAGCTAATTTCTAGGGCAGCTCAATACATTAGATGTTTGCAACGGAACAGAAGGGAAAGCATGAGAGTTGGCTTGTCCCTATTGCCGGTTAGTGTATGACCTAGGGTTAGGAGGGGGGAGTGCTACGACATGATTGAATGGGACAGTTCTGCGAGGTACACCTTCCACGCCCTCCTCCTCATCGTCATCGAACTCCAATGAGTAGCTGCAGGCATAAACGAAAGGGCAAGCTAAATTGAATCAATCTACGATGGAGGTGGGGCGGAAGGGAAAAATACTAAACTGGAGAGGTGATGCACACTTTTTTACTGGATAGAGGTGCTAGAGAACGCTCAGCATGATGGGTTTGTAACAAAGGAAGTGCAAATGGAATGTATCATTTCTTACTCATCGCTTTTCCGCTGTTGATGGTGCCATGCCACCGCATAACAAGCAAGAGTGTCAAATAGGCAGTCGGGGGAAGGGTATTGGTCAGTGAGCATGGGAGAGGAAGGAGTTTAGGTAACAGGAAAACAAGCGGTGAGCATGACATGATTCACAAGGCGAAAGTAACTGCAAAGGAACTGCGATGCACGGAGATCAAAGTGCTGTAGGTTGTTACACGAAGGTCACATTATTTGATTAATATTGATGAAAAAAACAGACAAAAATGGGGCAGGCAGGGCCCAGCTAGCACCTACCTTGCGTGGTTGCCCAACAACTGTTGCTTGATAAAGTGCCGTGGTGCTGGGGAAAACCGCGAGCACTCTGGACCCAGGAGGAAAGTCGGAGGCTGACATCCACTCATTGCGCTTGTGGAACGGGATGATGCAGGAGCCAGACAGGCGGTACTTTCTGAGGTTTTGGGAAACAGCAGAAATTATGTGCAGAGGAGAGTTTCCGGGTTGTATTGGTGTTTGTATGCTGAATGCATTGGCAAAAAAATGCTAAATTCATTGCTGGTAACAAAGTGCATCGATTGTGAAAAAGTTTTTGACGCCAGTGTGCCGTTTTTTCTGTGCTCACCTTTGCCCACCCTCATCCTCCTCCCCTGGCTCCTCATCAATCACGTCAAACCTGCGAAAGAAGGTACAGGGGTAAGAAGGCAAGTAACGACAAAAAGTAACCTCCAATGTTGGAGCAGGAATCTCTTTTGATAGGAAAACAATATGACTCTCACCTATTCGCCTCCCGGTCGATGCGGAGAACCTTTACAACAATCCATTCATCCTTGCCATCCTCAGTGGCAGACACTCGTGCTGCGACCTGATTTTAAGAGGGACGAATAGAGAGTCTGAAACCAGGCAGCAGAAAGTCCACACATGTACTGCGTTCACTTGGACTTCCTCATCTATATAACACGCCTCACATTCTCCGACCTCACCTGCTCTCCCACCACAACCCGTGTCAGGGCATCAGCTGACGCTGCAGAAGCGCCATCATTTAAGCCAGCAGCAGATGAGTTCAGCCCTAGAGAATTTCCTGGACCGCCGTCTCCACCGGCTGCTCCATCAGCGACTGAAACTGTGCGTTGGCGCTTCTTCCTCCCACCTTCCAAAGGGCCATCTGAACGCCAAGGGGATGGAGAGGATGATGATACGCGGAGAAATAGGTAACAACTACGTCGGATGATGAAGGGTGCGATACATCCCACCATGTAAACCTGAAGTCTGGATAGATTCCTGAACACTGAACATGGAATTGCAAGAACCTGCCTGATTTCTTTTTGGTTCCGTGCGGAGCTGAAATGGCTGAAACTTGTGACGGATCGAGTTCTCTGATGCAAGAGGTACAGAGACTGGAACGGGGGAGCAGAAACGTACGCAGCCGAAGTAAAATCAGCAAGTGATCAAATTGCATGAACGTCGGCGAAGAATGCCGTGGCAGGTAACACGCTTTCAACCATGACGGAACTGGAGCAGTGCAAAAGTGCGTCGAATATTGAAGCGCACCTTTCTTCAAGATCTGCAAGGCGTTTGGCCTCGACGTAGAATCCCCGTAGCTTTATCCACAGCTTCTCTCCAAAGCGTTCTGCCGTCTCTCGTGCTGCACTCGCTCAAAAGGATGGATGACACACACACGAACAAGCTATGAGACAATAATGAGAACCTTCTAAGCATGACATCGACGCCCATTACGTACGGGTTTGGCTTAATTTAGAGTGGATTTTATTTATTTTCTTCACAACAACGTCCTGCTCCCGTCGAACACGATCCAATTCGCGAAATTGCTGGACAACTGATTCAGGAAGTGGTGTTGCTGTGGCAGCCATGGGCGGAAAGTCGGTCGATAATACGCAAGCTTTTTTACCCAACAATGCGGCGGCGACCAGGGAAAAACGGCAAGCAAATGTGTTACCTCATATTTTGCTTGGGTCAATTTTTGTTCAGTCGGCGGGTTTTTGCTTGGGGAAACTGTCAGTGTACACTCTGTAGGTAAGAATTGTGGCTTGAGCGAATCCGGTTACTGCGAATCCCGGCGTTCTGCACTTTGTTGCAACCACCGAAAGACTATGCTTCAGCGAAAATTCGGTGGTGGCATTAGCTGCCTTCGTTAAAATGGGGAACCCCGTACAAAATTTCCACGAGAATCTGAAGTGGTTACATCCAGGGCTCGACGAAACAATGTGGTTACACTTGCTTCGTTTAGGTAGAATGGACGTTGCAAACCCACAACCATACTCACCCAGCATGACAAGTCACGTCACGATAGCCCTCTTCCTGGGTTGAAATTTCGTCGTCATCATCACAACCAGCATTTCAAGCTAGATATCGTAACCACAAACCAGGGATGGTTCTCCCGTTCATGGCTGGGATCAGGGATGGTTCTCCCGTCTCTAATAGACAATGGCCTCCTGTTACTTTCTCGAAGCGCGAAAGAATTGTCGTGCTTATTCTCCTAATGCTGGTTTGTGGGATGTGCTACCGTCTGTCCTTATTTCCAGCGGGAACTGGTTCATGGCATCGCCGGCTATCCTGGAAATCAGAAAATAATGTAGAGGCCATCGCGGATCATGCAAGCTTCCGTGCCGTGACATCAGGAGGTCAATATCACTCATCTCTCGTTATGCATAATGACGTCCAACCGTGGCAGGTGATTAGTCCCCTTCCGATTTCATTTAAGCAAGTGCTTCTGATGGGGGACGTCTGATCCTCGAATTAATCAGGCACCCGAAATCGCTTTTATCGCTAATCAAATGATGAAACAATATGGAAGACTTGACACCAAGGCGAAAAAGGATTGCAAGCTAATTCGAGACACTAGCGCGGTTCTGTGGAAGAATCACTCTAACTACGACGTTTTGACGCGGTGGAGGTCTCCTGGCATTCCAGGATCATTCTTCGACCACGCAATCAGCTTCAGATATAAGAGGATGGAAGGTGTATCTCCTCGGCTGAAAAACTATCAGGCAAGAAGCTAACTAGACATGTGTTCATGGGATGAGATGCATTGTTTCTAACGCATGGCACGTCCTTTCAGTGCCGACTTCTTGTCAGAGGACAAGACTATGAGGCTCTCAGGCGCCTACCAGTGGTACAGTCTATCCCCTTCACCGACCAGCAGCAAATTGGTCCAGTGTTCACCGATGAAAAGTTGCGTATGATTGCAGTTGTCTTCCCTCAGGTATGTGAGCATTTTCTTCTTCGTTCTATTGTGTTCTGTCGTCTTGACAAACCCTTTTCCCTTGTAGTACCATGCATTTAAGGAAAATGATTTGTTTTGGGGAACAAACTTCACCGAATGGACAAACTTGAAGCTGGCATATTTCAACCCGTGGAACTTCCAACCCATTAAACATCCTATTGAAGCTTACGGAGGTTATTATAACATGCTCAGCCATTCCCAACGGTCGAGAATGGGAAAGCTGGCAAGGTTTTATGGCATCCAAGTAAGAATATCACGACATGCTTTGTTTGTGTTCCCTTTTCTCTTGAGGCAACTTCAATCAAGTTGTTGTTGTTGTTGTTGTTTTTTTTTTTTTTTTTTTTTTTTTTGGCATGGCAGGGCTTCGCATTTCATCATTACTGGTTTGAGTGCAACACTGTATTTATGGAGTCGGTCATTATGGAAATGCTGAAAGATGGACAGCCAGACCTCCCTTTTATGCTCATTTGGGCAAACGAAGCCTGGACACGGCATTGGACAGGAGAGACAGGCGAAGTACTTCAGTCTCAGGTGAAAACATTTCAACCGAAGGGAGCTGCACGGTGTGATGTGAGGGAAATGCACTGAATTCGTGATCCTTTGTTGCAGAGCTACGGGAATGAGACGTGCTGGCGGTTGCATTTTCAGTGGCTTCTACCCCTTTTCAAGCACCCTAATTACATAAAAGTCAATAATAAGCCGGCCTTTGGAATCTACATCGTCCCCCTTATTAAGGAACTCAAGCCAATGCTGAAGTTATGGCGGTCGCTTGCCAAAGAGGAAGGTTTGCCTGGCCTCCATATTATCCAGTGCCTGGGCCATAAAGACACAGGTGTTTCCAGAAATGTCAATGCTATTATGGAGTATCAGCCCAATCTGAAAAAGGGGCGGATGAAGACTGAATCTCCAACAAAAAGGCTCCACAAAGCCCATTATCGGGGAGAATATCTTGGTTGGGACAACTTTCCAAGGCACAACCTCGACCCGCATTTTGTCGTTGGGGACCTTGATGATGATCCTGTTCATGTGGAGGCAAGGCTGGAGGAGAGATTTAGAATCGCTCGAAATGATGCGAACAATGGAACGACCCCCAACCTCTTCTTCCTCACTGCATGGAATGAATGGGGCGAGGGAAACGTGCTGGAGCCTAACAACATATTCGGGTAAGTCTGTTTTTTTCTACCAGGCAAGCTAACACATTATGTTTACCTGGCCTTATACCTTGTTTGTGCAGTTACGGAAATTTGAATGCGGTTGCACTGGCATATGAGAGCAGCAAGCATGAAGCCAGCAATGACATCGGCATTTTGAACAAACTGCACGAGTCTATGGACGAATGCAGATTGAAGCTGGACATTCAGTACTACGTTGATCTTGCTGGTGCAGGCCTCTTTCATCTACTGAGTGGTCCAGAACCGGAAATGAGGGTAATCGAGAACTGGCAGACAGAAGGCTTCAGCAAAGGCAGAGAGTTCAGGCTTGTGAGTGAGCTGGAGGATGCTGCTTGCATTGGGAAAGCGCATTGTCAGTTTCTGTGTGGAATGACGTTGGACAAACATACGGTGAGGTACTTGCTGGAGGTGGACAGTGAAAATGTAGGGCGTTACCATGAGAGCTCCTTGAGTGAACTTTGATGGAAATAACCTGCTTGGTATGCATGCAAGTACGGTACGTTGCGGTAGCTTGTTTGTGTATTTTAATATGCATATTCAGACCTGCCTTCTCTGTTCGTTAATTAGTTCTGAAATTTTTCGATTGGTTTTTTTAGCTATGGGAAACAGCGGCACATTATCTGTTTTTTGTTAGTTTAGCCTGAAATGGTTTTATGCGCTAAGTGTGATTACCTCTTCACCTCACGATGAACACGATACATCACTTTGCACCGTAGTTAGTCAAGTGCAGGGTCAAAACCAGAGTTGCACCAAAAGATGACCATACCGCCTGCTGTCCTCAAAGCACTTCGTTCCCAAGAAGAAGCAGCTCATCACTTCCCGCACAATGCTCTCTTCGCTTGACGCAGCGCTCGAATCAGCTTCTGGTAGGACCTCATGCTGTAACCGACGGGACGTTTAGCCTGTATACGCTTTCCGTAATTTCATCCGTACGCTTTCCTTCTTCATGGTCTCTTTGCTGGTTAATGCATTGTACACATATTGCTTTTGCTTAGCTTGCGCCTCGTGCACTACGTCTTCCTTAGCTTCTTCCTCTTCGCTTACTATTGCAGGTCCACGAACGGCTGCCTTTCAGCCGAAGCTCAAGCCTCGCGCTAGGAAGGGAGGAGCTGGCGGCGGGGCGGGTGCTGAAGCTGCGGCGCCAGCAGGACAATCTGGCCCATCAGCCGGTCCATCAGGGGGGCGCACTGCTCCTGCGGGAAATGTAGCGGGAGTTGCGCAGGCTGTAGCGCCGCCCGTCCGCGCTATAGCCGCTGCAGTTGCGACCGTCCCTTCCGAACGAACATCAGCATCAGCGCAACGTCCCCTTCCTGACGCCCCGATTTCCGCGCCACAACTACCCTCTCGGTCTGCAGCACCAGAAGCTCTTGGCCTGGGCTCACCTGCACCATCCTCTTCAGCAGCAGTAGTAGCCGGGGCGACTCATCAAGCAGAGGGGTTAGGTTTGGTTCAAGAGGGTTTTGGCGCCCCTTCCAGAACTGCCACTGCTGCCCCTCCCCCTGCCGCCACAGCAGCCACTGGTGCAAGAGCGTCATCAGCATCTGTCCCTGCTACAGCTCCCACCCCTCCCTCCTCCCATGCTCCTACCCTCCCCGCTCCCCACGCGTCCGCTCGTCCCGCTCCGCGTGCTCCTGCCCCTGGCTCCCTAGAAAACGGTCCTCATAGAAATGCCGCGCCTGCAGCCCATGCTGCTGCTGCTGGTGCTGCTCCTGGCACTGCCGTGGGAGCAGCAGATGCAGTGGTGCGAGGAATTGGGAGAGGGAGGGAGAAGGAGAAAGGGGCATCTGGGGGTGATAAGAGCCGAGGCGTGATTGGGTCGGGAACCAAGGGAGTGTTCTTTCCACACTCTTTCCGGAAAGGGAAAAGGCGTAAGTATCTCTGACTACATTCTGAACCCTCAACCTGAACCGCCAGAATTCGAGGTTTTACATAAACCTGACATTTACAACAAGGCATGCTGCGACTCCAAACCCTCAACACCCCTCCGTGTTCCCCCCCTCCTCCCCCCACTTCCCCTGACCTCCCCCGCACACCAGGGTCGCAGGTGACTCCGGAGCTGCTGGCAGCGGAGGACCTGTCAGGCTTCACCATCCAGCAGATCATTCAACGGTCGGAAGTGCTCGACCGAGAGGTGGGAGTTGAGAGGTGGGGAGTGAGGGGTTTGGGTTAAGGTAGGTGTTTGTGGAGGCGTGGGGTTCAGCGTCATGCTCTAGTGAATCATTTAGCGCGACGAAGCGCTCAACTGAGAGGTGAGGAGGAGTTGAGGTAAAGATTGGCAGCCTTACTTCCTGCTTCCTCCTTCAGTAGTTAGCAAGTCAAAGCCTGCACGTAAATGAAAATAGCAGACACGTGTCCATTGTTGGTTTAGCTGCACTCTCAGGAAGCATCACTGTCCTCCATCACTCGTTCACTCATTCACCCTGCTACATCTCCCTTCCCTGCTTCCCTACCCTCCCATCCTCTCCTCCTTACCCCTGCTTTCCCCGTCGCCCTCGCTGTCTGTGTGTGGGCAGAAAGAGAAGGAGGAGCAGGAGAAGAAGCGGATAGAGGAGGAGGTGGAGCGGAACAGAAGAAAGCTGGCCAGGCGGCGAGGCGAGGATGTGGATGATGACAGCGAGGGGTGCGTGGGGTTTGAGAGTGGCAGTGAGGGGTGCTTGGAGTTTGAGAGTGGCAGTGAGGGGTGCTTGGGTGTTGAGGATGGCAGTGAAGGATGGTGGGGAGGGGTAGGAGACTGGGGAGGAATTTGACCAGGAGGAGAGGCGAGGAGGTGGATGAGGTCAGTGAGGGGTGCGGGCGGGAGGGGGGGTACATGTGATGTGGAACGTGGTATCGAGGGATAACGTAGGACTGTGGTCTTGAGAGGATGTGGAAGGTGGTATAAAGGGATTATGTAAAGGGGTGGTATTGAGGAATGACACTGGGGGGTGATATCGAGGGTTGATGTGGAACGATGATGGAATGGTCCATGTGGAGTGATAATGTGAAGCGGTGATGTGAAGAGGTGGGTGGGGGATGGTATTGAGGGGTGGGTGGGTGAGGAGAGGTGAATTTATGAGAGGTTTGGATGGGTGGAATGGGAGAGAGGCGAGCAGGGTGGTGGCTAGGAGGAGTGTGAGAGTGTAGAGGGTTTTCTCAAAGAGACTATACATGCTGAATTAAAAATAGTCTAAACAGGTTCCTCCTACATGCCTCCACATCCTCCGAACCCCACCCACCAGCCCCACTGCCTCTGCACCGGCCAGCAACCCCCCAGCTGGCAGCAGCGGCGGCGGCGGGGTGTTCGCTCCCCAGGTGACAGTGATAGACGGGCGCATTGTGGTGAACGAGGCGAGCTCAGAGTCCGAGTTTGAGGCGTCCCTTGTTCTGCATGTTCCCCCATCCTCCCACCCCCACCCACCAGCCCCGACGCCTCTGCGCCAGCCAGCAACCCCCCACCTGGCAGCAGCGGCGATGGTGGCGGAGTGTTCGCTCCCCAGGTGACAGTAATCGACGGGCGCATCGTGGTGAACGAGGCGAGCCTCACGGTGGACGCGCAGGGGGGGAGGGACGCGGCGATGGAGGGGTACAAGCGGGTGGAGGAGAGCTCAGCGCGGCTCAACTATGGCACGCATATGAAGAGGGAGAAGAGCGACCGATGGAGCGTGGAAGAGACGACTCTGTGGTACCAGGTGGGTGACTGGTTTGGATGATCCTCGGAATATTCGCAGCTTTGTGACAGTGATAGGCAGGCGCATCGTGGTCAAAGAGACAAGTCTCACAGTGGGGAGGTGGAGGGGAGCGACGGAGGGACGAGGCGATGGGGGGGTATAAGCGGTTAGAGGAGAGCACTGCACTGCTGAAGTACGGCACGCATATGAAGAGGGAGAAGAGCGACCGGTGGAGCATAGAGGAGACCACTCTGTGGTACCAGGTGGGTGACTGGTTTGAGACACCATATCAGAGGTTCCATGCTCGGTGGCCCAGCTACAGCACGCATATGAGGGGAGAGAAGAGCGACGGGTGGAGCATGGAGGAGACGACTCTGTGGTACCAGGTGTAAGGCTAATGTGAGACACTGTAGCGATCGTGGCGAGCAGAGGCTCAGCTATGGCTCGCATATGAGGAGAGAGAAGAGTGACCTGTGGAGCGTAGAGGAGACGACTCTGTGGTACCAGGTGAGTGGCTATTTTGAGACACCATGGCAATCGTTGCAAGCACGGTGGCCCAGCTACAGCACGCATATGAGGAGAGAGAAGAGCGACGGGTGGGACGTGAGAAGAGACGAATCTGTGGTTCCAGGTGAGTGACTGCTTTGAGGCACCTCAGAAATCGTTTCCAGCCTGTAAGGCTCAACTACGGGCACCAGCAGTTGAGCAGTTTGGCTCGAGACTTCAAGATGCTGGGAGCAATATCTCTCCTGTGCCTCTCCCTTCTCCTCTGCCCCCGTCTCCTGCGTTGCCCTCCAGGCTCTGCAGCAGTTCGGAACGGACTTTGAGATGCTGCAGGCGCTCTTTCCCAAGCGCTCTCGGAGGCAGATGAAGGCCAAGTTCAAGCGAGAGGAGATGCTGCACCCGCACCTCGTCACCCACGCGCTCACACACCGATGCACAGGTGGGTGGGTTTCAGGGTTGTATTGTAGTAGACCTGTGGGAGACGCACTTCACTTGAAGGATGAAGGCCAAGTTCAAGCACGAGGAGACGCTGCACCCTCATCTAGTTACTCATGCGCTCACACACCGTTGCACAGGTGAGTCACAGTGTTAAGTGTAGTTGAACGCCCTTTCACTTCGAAGGATGAAGGCCAAGTTCAAGCGCGAGGAGATGCTGCACCCGCACCTCGTCACCCACGCGCTCACACACCGATGCACAGGTGAGTCACAGTGTTGATTGTGTGCACTTTAAGGATGAAGGCCAAGTTCAAGCGGGAGGAGACGCTGCACCCTCATCTAGTTACTCATGCGCTCACACACCGATGCACAGGTGAGTCACGGTGTTGAATTTAGGAGATCTTTGCGTGATGCACTTTGAAGGATGAAGGCCAAGTTCGCGGGAGGAGACGCTGCACCCGCACCTTGTCACACATATTTTCGCACGCCGATGCACAGGTGGGTTACAGCTGGTAACGAGTGCTCTCGCACACCACTTGCAGTGTGAGTCACAGGATGTTATGCTTTATCTCACACATAGCCGCACACGTATGGAGTCAGGCCTCCTTTGAATCATATTTCTCCACCATCCTTCCCTTCTTTCCCTCCCCCACTCCACCTCATCTTCCATCGCTTCCACCCACCTCCCTCCAGACAAGCAGCAGTACGAGCGCCTGGCCTCGGCCCTCAACCCACAGCTGGCGCTGCAAGTGAGAGAAACACTGGCTGGCTCCTCTGCCTCTCCCTCTGCTCGTGCCTCTATTGCTGCTCGTGCTGATGCTGGTGCTGCTGTGTCTGCTGGTGCTGTTGCTGTGAGGGGGAGGGAGGTGGGGAGCAGGCAGAGGGTGAGGCAGCAGCAGCAGGGAGCAGCAGTGGTAGGAAGGCCGGGGGCAGCTGTTGCTGCTGCCACTGCTGCTGCTGCCAACGCACTCCACAACATAGCTGCCTCTGCTTCTCCTGCTGCTGTTGGTGGTGGTGGTGCTCTTGCTGGTGCTGAGATGGATGACGGTGCTGGTAACGAGGAAGTTAATGAGGAGGATGAGGGAATAATGGAGGAAGTGGAGATGGAGGAGTGGAGAGCGGTAGCAGCAGATCCAGCAGGAGTGGGGCAGGAGGGAGGGACAGAACAAGGAGTTGATGGGCTAGGGGAAGCGCATGGGGAAGGTGAGGGAATGGGTGTGGATGGTGGGGAGGAGGGAGTGGGTGGTGAAGACGCTTATGGGGAAGGTGACTATGGTGCAGGGGCGGACGGAACAGGGGAGTATGGCGTTGTGACACAAGAGAGCGTTGCAGTGACTCAAGCAGAAGGTGACTATGGCGAGGCAGAGTATGGGGAGGGGGAGGAGGAGATGGGAGGGACGACAGGGTATGAAGACCCGTTTGCTGCGTATGGAGGGGACGGGGAAGTGGAGGAGGATCCACTGGGTGGGTATGGCTGATGTGCGTGATAAAAGAGAGTTATTGAGACGCAGCGTATGGAGGGGATGAGGAAGTGGAGGGGGCACTTGGCGGGTACAGATGACGTGCTGATGCACTAATATCCTGGTGATCAATGAATGGTAGTCAGATATAGGTACCAGTACTTGAAATACCATGGTTCAAATAATGTATTAGCTTACAAGATAAGACAATGGAAGAGCGGAGCCACAAATCAAGAAAATGGAAACGGCAGCCCACTGCCAGAGCCCACTGCCTTTCTCCCACCACCTGGTTCATCTGCCATGAGATCCCACACCATGGTCGTCCAACCAAGCTCTCAAACATTATGAAACTCCACTTGCTCCTCCTGCACCCCCTCCTGCACCTCCCCTTGCCAATTCGCTATTTTATTTTCCAAAATGCTTTTCCCCTCGACAAACTTCGCTCCTTTGCTGATTCGCCTGCTCTGCTGGGCATCAGAAATATAAGCAGCTTCTCTTATTCAATGTTTAAGAATTAAACTCCAACACAACGATTTATACTAATGCTTCACTAATTCAGTGTGCTTCACCCTGCTGTGCCCTCAAAGCCCTTGCTCTTAGAGACTCCTCATAGAACTCTGATAGGCCGTAGTAGTCACTGCACATCGTACAAAAATGAAGCAGAAATCGCAGAGCATCTGACAGATAGGAGAGGAATACGAGCCCAGTTGAATCCTGAAACACTCACAGGCAGAAGAGGAGCGAAAATGGTTAAGGCAGTACCAAGAAAGGGAATGCCATGAACTGACCAGAGCTGTGGAAGCGTTTGGCAACGATTGACGCATCTGCCCTCCCCGATCTCATAGTTGGCGTGATGGATAATCATCTCCCGTATCACATGCTTGGACCACTTGTAATCGTTGTCCCACCGCACACACTGCCGTTGTAGAGTGAGTTTGCATCAGCAGGCGGGGGAAGACAGGAGAGACTTGGCACCAGTTGACAAACCTCAGAGTTCAAAGCAGCAGGGGAAGGCAAGAGAGAGCTGGGAGTTGGTTCATGTGGCAGAGGAGCAGAAGCATCTACTGGCGTCAATCTCTCAGCATGACCCCTATGTTCATATCTCCCAGCCCAGTCCCACCTGCCTCAGAAACAGCCTCTTCACCACCTCCCAGTTCTGCGGCCCCTCTGGGCGAAACACAGTTGGGTTCCAGAGGGCTCCCCGTGCTGCCATGGCTGAGGCCGCTCCTGATGGGCGGAATGGGAGACAGGGACGTGCAGGCATGGCAGGGAAGGGAAGAATCTTCTGAGACGCCTCAACACACAGTTTGGTTCCAAAGAGCTCCGCATGCTGCCATGGCTGATGCTGCTCCTGATGGGTGGATGGAGAGTGAGGGACGTGCAGGCATGGAAAGGGAAGGGGGCGAAAGGTCGAAGAAGAGGCTGTCACAGAAGGGGGGAATCTTTTGAGGTGCCTCAACACACAGTTGGGTTCCAAAGAGCTCCGCGTGCTGCCATGGCTGATGCCGCTCCTGATGGGCGGAATGGGAGACAGGGACGTGCAGGCATGGCAGGGAGATGAGGCATGGCATGAAGGGGAGGCATGGCAGGGAGATGAGGCATGGCATGAAGGGAAGGCATGGCAGGGAGATGAGGCATGGCATGAAGGGGAGGCATGGCAGGGAGATGAGGCATGGCATGAAGGGGAGGCATGGCAGGGAGATGAGGCATGGCATGAAGGGGAGGCATGGCAGGGAGATGAGGCATGGCATGAAGGGGAGGCATGGCAGGGAGATGAGGCATGGCATGAAGGGGAGGCATGGCAGGGAGATGAGGCATGGCATGAAGGGGAGGCATGGCAGGGAGATGAGGCATGGCATGAAGGGGAGGCATGGCAGGGAGATGAGGCATGGCATGAAGGGGAGGCATGGCAGGGAGATGAGGCATGGCATGAAGGGGAGGCATGGCAGGGAGATGAGGCATGGCATGAAGGGGAGGCATGGCAGGGAGATGAGGCATGGCATGAAGGGGAGGCATGGCAGGGAGATGAGGCATGGCATGAAGGGGAGGCATGGCAGGGAGATGAGGCATGGCATGAAGGGGAGGCATGGCAGGGAGATGAGGCATGGCATGAAGGGGAGGCATGGCAGGGAGATGAGGCATGGCATGAAGGGGAGGCATGGCAGGGAGATGAGGGATGGCATGAAGGGGAGGCATGGCAGGGAGATGAGGCATGGCATGAAGGGGAGGCATGGCAGGGAGATGAGGCATGGCAGGGAGATGAGGCATGGCATGAAGGGGAGGCATCTATCGAGACGTCTCGAAACACAGTTGGGTTCCGCACAGCTGCTCACGCTGCCATGGCTGATGATGGTCCTGATGGGCAGAAAGGGAGACAGGGAAGAGAAGCATGGGAGGAACGGGGGACATCGTTAAGCCGTCTCAAAACACAGTTGGGTTCCAGAGAGCTGCTCACGCTGCCATGGCTGAGGACGCTCGTGATGGGTGGAAGCAGGGACTGGGACATGCAGGCATGGCAGGGAAGGGAGGCATGGCAGGGAAGGGGGGCATGGCAGGGAAGGGGGGCATGGCAGGGAAGGGAGGCATGGCAGGGAAGGGGGGCATGGCAGGGAAGGGAGGCATGGCAGGGAAGGGAGGCATGGCAGAGAAGGGGGGCATGGCAGGAAACAGCATGAAGGGGAGGCTGGGCAAGAGGGGAGTGTAGGAAGGTGAGAGACGACACCACTGCAGGTGGTGCTATAGCTGCCATTCTCATATTTGTCACATCAGCCTTTCTCACCTGTTGCTGCTCGGATGAAGGAAACAGCATGAAGGGGAGGCTGGGCAAGAGGGGAGTATAGGAAGATGAGAGACGACACCATTGCGGGTGGTCCTATAGCTGCCATTCTCATGTTTGTCACATCAGCCCTTCTCACCTGTTGCTGCTCGGATTGCGTCGAAATCGCTGTAGGAGAACACGTCCCCATTGGCAATGACAGGGAGGGAGAGTGACGCCACCACTGAAGGGAGTGCCTCCCACTGCGCCTTCATTGACGGCCGGTGGGGAACTTTCCTGGAAGGCAGCGGCGGAGAAAGGGCACAAAAGAAGTGGAAGAAGGAAAACTGAGCAATCTCAGAAGTCACCTTTCCTTGCATGTATCGCCCTTCACCTTGGATGATTACCAGACCCGACATGCCTATGCTTTCAACAGATGCTCAGATGGTCAGAGGCGAAGTCAAGTGTACGGAGGGGAAATTTCGGCAGGTAAATATTGGTAGGGAATAGTGCACCATGCCCCCTACTACCAGCCCCACTTCCTTGCACGCACCCCCTTCCCATCACCACCCCTCCATTCGCCCATTCACCTCGCATGAATGCCCAGAGCTGAAATGCCCGTGCTCTCAACAGCACGTGCAAAGTCGATTGTGCGGTGGGGCGAGTCGAGTAGACGGATCTTGCAGGTGAGTGCGATGGAGGTAGGCAGGTTGCGACGCAGGGTGGAGAGGATCTGAAGGGCGGAGTTTGAGGGGGTTCAGAGGGGTTTGGATGGGTATGATATGGGGGTTGATGGTGCATTGAAGGAAAGGATGGTAAGTTTGGGATGAAATGTGATGATGTGTGTGTGGATGATGCATGGGGCTTGATTTAAAGGTAATGGCGGATTCACAATCAGCATGGGATACGAGGGCGTGGATCATACATGGGGAACAAACAGAAATCGTACAGAGAGAACAGAGCACAGAACACAACACACAGAACAAGTCTCATAGACGACACAACACAGAGCACAACAGACAGAACAAGTCTCATAGACGAGACGACACAACACAGAACACAACGCACAGAACAAGTCTCATAGACGACACAACAAAGAGCACAACACAGGTGTCACACCTTTGACGCATGCACGTCATTTGCGATCCCTGTCTCTGAGAGCAGCCATGGCCCATGCGGTCACATAGTGCCACCCTTTACACCCCAAACCTTAAAACCTGAACCCCTTTTGAGGCGCCTCAAAAGCCACCCTTTAAACCCCAAACCTTAAACCCTGAGCCCCTAGCTCTTGTGAACCCTGAATGTAACACCCTGGGCTTACATCACATGCGGTTTCTGGGCGGGAGAGCAGTGCAGCGCCCATGCCGCCACTGGTGGAGAAGGGCTTGGGGCACCCCATGTTGATGTCTATTGCTGCCACGTCATTGCATCTGCGGATGGGAGGGCAAGGATGAGTTGAGACACATGAGATGACGCTTCAGGTAACCCTTCAAACGACACATGAGACGACACACGAGTTGCTGACTAAATTGACACATGAGGTGAGACAATCATGAACTGGCTGAAACGCACAGGGCATAGACAGGCGGTGAGACGGAAGATGAGATGGGGAGGAAGAGATGATGAGGAGGTAGAGTCTTTGAGGAGGGTGTTGGAAAGGAGGAAAAACTGACACAATTTCAGCAGCTCTTAAAGCCCGGACAGCATCAGAGGTGCCGATCTGGAAGGCCACTCGCGTCCTCTCCGCCTCACACGTGCGGAACACCACTATGCCCGTGCTGGGCTCCATGAAGTCAACGGAATTCAACGCAGCTGGGGGAAGGGGAGGAGGGGTGGGGGTGGAGGGTGAGGGGGAGTGGGGGAGGGGGAGAAGAGAGGGAACACCACGATGCCCGTGCTGGGCTCAACGACGTCAACGGAATTCAACGCAGTTGGGGGATGGATGGGGGATTGGGTTTGGGGTTTGGGGGAAGGGGGGAAGGGAGAGAACACCACGATGCCTGTGCTGGGCTCAACGAAGTCAACGGAATTCAACGCAGCTGGGGAAAGGGGGAGGGAGGTGAGTGGGAGGAGGGGAGGAGAGGAGAGAGAACGTGATGATGCCGGTCTTGGGTTCAACAAAGTCAACGGAGATCAATGCAACTGGAGGGTGTGAGAGGGACGTGGGGGTAGGGGAAAGAGGGAAGGCCATGATGCCTGTGCTAGGTTCAATGCAGCTAGGGGACAGGTGGGGAAGAGAGGATGGTGCTTATTTTCTCTGCTTGCCAACCCAAAAGAAGCCAATTGCTGGTTGTTATGAGGGACAGACTTGACACTTATGCACAGTCAGGCTATCACCACCTCACTGTACATCAAGGTCGTGATATAAACGCGTACACCCACCCCCCCCCCCGCCCCTATGCTTTTATACGACACGATTTGTATCACTCACAATTCACCACTCTCTTGCACTGTACAAAGCGGTGGTCGATCACCTCCTCGCTGTACACCATATCCGCGCCACAGTCCAGAGCCAGCAGTCGGAATGCAAGAGTATTCTGGCCGGCGCCAGTGGGGGGAAAGGGTTGGGACGGATTACAATTCTAAACTGAGCCGACAGAAAGGACAGAAAGTTCAGTTCCCGAAAAACAATAAACGTTCTGAGACGCCTTAAAAGTTGCCTCAGGATAAAGGCGCTTTGGACGAAAGACGGACATGGGAGGAGTGATAGAAACTGCTTTACACTTGAGTAATGAAGGGACTGAGCAGTATTAAGGAGCGTCACGTACCACTCTAACCATGGGAGCGAGGATATTCATCCCTCTATACGTCAGCTCCCCTTCTCCTAACGGAGCTTTCCCCAACTCGTTGTAACCGGGTAACCCTGGCGCCCCCACGCCTCCTTCGTACATGTCGTCCGTAAAAACGAATTGTTCGTCGGCTGGTGGCCCACCGTCAGTTAACGTCCCGTCCGCCAAGTTGGGGGTCGTCATGTCAACGGCAGCTCCGTTGAACCGAGTTTCAGTGGGATACGCGTTACAAAAAGATGCTCCATCTGACGAACCAGTGGCGCAGGTGGGCTCAAAATCCGGCCTGCTAGTAATCGGAAGTGTCATGGCGACTCTGCGCGTAAATCACGCGAATACAGTTGCATCAAACGCACGATTTACTCGACAACAACACAGACTACAATCACGCGACTACAGTTACTGCTGTTTACGAGCTCACTACAGAATCACGAACGCTTGGCTGCTCGTTGAAAGAACCAAGACGTGAGTCCTTGAGTGTCTTGGATCCTCTTGCGAAAGACTACCCACCAACCACGCGTGCTGGAATTCGAAGTGAGGTGCATTCGAAGTTCCAAAAGAGATGATCAGCCCCAAGCGCGCATCCCCACTGCCCAAATCGCGGCGGCTGGTACTTGTGGCGGGAATTTCTCGTAAACAAGCGGTTTTCCCAAGGTTTGGGAGCACTCGATATCCGCACTAAAAGAGTTGCAAAACAAGGTTCAAATGGAAACAGACATCATCAACCTCACGTTCTATACAATTTGAAGCTATTGCTTCAACACTTCCCCAGCCCTAATTCCAATGTCCTCAAAAGCAGTGTATGTTACTGGTGACTATGGAGCTCCCACTACATTTCTATGAGAACAAACAGACTACTATAATTCCACTATCTTTGGCTTTGCCTTATTGCTTCTTAAACTGCCTCTTCCCCGGGCCCCCTTCTTGACTTTCCCCAACCCATTCATTCTTTTGCCGCCATATCCCCCCTTGTGCTGGCCTGGGTGTATGTTTGGCCCCCGACCTCCTTTTTCTCCTCCCACTCCAACACGAAACACCCCACAATCCCCACCAGCCACATCACCATCAAGTGAGCGGCCTAGAAGCACTCCCCCGTTCCCTCCTTCCCCATCTTCCTCCATGGATACACACCTGTCTCCACCGTCCAAGCCATCACCCCCATGTGCATCAGCCCTTCGTATACCACCCTCAATCCCATCACCACCACCCTCATCCCCACCATCATCACCATCAGAATCTTCGCTCTCTGATTCCAATTCCGAGTCAGAATCGCTGCTCCCAGCCTCCCCCTCCTCCCCTTCCCCCTCCCCTCTGCCCACAGAGCCCCCCTGTCCGGCCCCAGACAAAGCCCTCTCTGCTGCCGCCACGGCATCAGCGGTGCGCAAGTCAACCAGACCCAGTGATAGGTGTGGGGGGGAGGGGGAAGAGTGATGAGAGCAGAGAGAATGGTGAGAGCAGAGAGAATGGTGAGAGCAGAGAGAATGGTGAGAGCAGAGAGGGTGGCGAGAGCAGGGAGAGTGGTGACAGCAGAGTGTTTAGGGAACGGGAGACTGATGAGAACAGGAGAGAGATGGACAGCAGAGAGAGGTGGGAGGAACGGCCACTGACTCATATTCACTACATGCTGGCTCACCATCGCTAAATGATTACTCACCATCTCTGAATGCTGACTCACCATCTCTGAATGCTGACTCACCATCTCAATGCGTTGCTGTGAGTCGTCCACTGCCTCCATGCTCACCGCCTCCCGCCCCTGCTCCTGTGGGTGGTCACGGCACAGAGAGGCAGAGGGCAGAACAGACAACAAAACATTTCGTATGAGGAGCGTCAAGAGTAAACTCGCCGCTTCCTGCTCTTGTTCCTGTTGGCAATCAAGAGAGGCCTGGCCAGGTCAGACATGGTCGAGGAGCAAGGACCAACGGCAGAGTGTCCCAATTCCTAATCTTCCCTCGTGCCTAAATTCGCCCACTGCCACATGTATTCGCCCCTATGCATCTCCAAGGCTCGTTGCAACGTCTGATTCTTCTGCCTAATCCGGAGTAAAGAGCGGAAATTCTGACTTCCATAGCCACGAGCTCGTCACCACTTTCGGCTTATACACGCCTCTCTTCCTTACCTCTATTCGCCCCTTCGCAACTCTCTCCACCCCTCCATACCTGTATGGCTCGCTGCAGCTTCTGGTTCTCCTGCTCCATCTGGGGTAAGAAGCCCCGCAAGCGAGCCAGCACTGGCAGCAAACGCGAGGGGAAAGACACATGGAGATAAGCGGGGAGATAAGTAGGGGGAAACTCAGAGAAAGACGCAGCGAGATCCGCAGGGGCAGGGGAGGTTTTACGGTTGGAGCTTATTAAGTCACGTGCGAGGAGGTGGCGCGACACAGGAAATGTTGAGGCGCAAGAAATGTAGCCCGCAAGACATTTTACGCCAGGAAGGAATTAGGGTTTGGAGGTTCAAAAGTTTAACGTTCAAAAACCCCGAGCCCTGAACCCCGACCCTGGCAAAACCTACGTGTCGCGAATTCGCAAGTTGTAAAGTAACGCACCCGAACTCTCCCCAACCGGCGATGTGAACATCGCTGGCGGCGCTTGCCCCTGCCATGGTGGCTTCTGCTGCTGCTGCTGTTTCTGCGCGCGCGGATTGCTTTTGCCTGGCTGCGCCAAGAGACGTTCCACTGGAGTGAGGAGAGGGGAAGAGAGCAGGAGGGGTGGTTTTTGCTGGTGCTGCTGCTGTGCGAAATGATGGTTGTAATCAGGGAGGCGGAGAAAGATCGAGGCCAGGGGAGAAAACGGCGAGGAAATATACCTCATTTAGAAGTAGGGATATAACTCGGAAATATTCATCACATTGGTGTTCTAATGTGACGGCCTAGCAAAAATATGACGTACAGAAAGGCAACGAATCACCGCCGACGGTGAGTAGCTCTCTGCTTGCCGCGATTGACGCTTGCGGTTTTATCGCACCGCTGTTAGAACCTTCCGTCGCCATCGGAAGGAGCGGGAAAGAACGACCTAGCTGACGAGTGGGTGATAGTGATAAACGGTATTGTGAGGAGTAATATGATAATGGTGCGGTAGAAATGGAGTTATGGGTTGTAACTCGGGTGGTTGAGGGTCGCGGAGTTGCAGAACTAGCAGTTACCGAAACTCTGCGAGCTAACGAGGTCTCTATAGGCGAGTTCGCGACTCCGTGAAACTCCGTAACAAATTGAGTGGGTGTGCTGGATGAGCGTCCCACCTACCTACAACCTGGTCATTCGATCCCACCACGGCCGTTTCGCTGACGTTACTGTACTTGTCGCAGCCGACGATTGTGAATGTTGCTCTCGCAACCCGAGAACAATTTCAGGTGGATAGCTACCAATGAAATCCATGCACTCTCGGCTCGCATATCGTCGCACAGCTTCGCATATCCTACACCCCTGACGCCCCCATGTGACTCTTCTCCAATTGGTCGAGAGCGAGTGGCAACAGTTACAGCATCCGTGGGGCGGTGTGAGGGTGTTTCGCTTCGCCTTGCAGCGCCTCGCCTTTTCTCGCATCATCTCGCCTCACCTCGCTTTGCCTCGCTTTACATAAAACCTTTTTGCATAACCTCATTTCGTCTCGCCTCGCCGCACCAGCGTTTTGTTTTCGCGAACCACGAAAATCGTTGGAACGAATTGAAGAGTTGAGCGGGGAACTAGTGTGTGGGAGAGGCAGGTAGCACGGGGCAGGATTGCTTTGCTTTGCTGCCGAATCACGCTTCGTAGTTATGCAAGTTACTTTTGTTCGTGGGGGTAGTACACAATCCGCAGTCACACAATCTCCTCGTCGTAACGCCTACCTCCTCCCGCAACCTCAGTCCGTTTCTTTATTTCAGAAAGGACGCGGCACGAGCGTACATTCCTAGTGCACAGATTACGTAGGGCGTTTCTTTTCGATCCACCACAGTCCATCGACGTCGTCACACTTCCTTGGAACGTGTGATTCCCTGCTAGAATAAATAGCGCACGCGGACACAGGTAGTGAGAACGATACTGCTGAAACTCTTTCGATTCTGCCATCAGGTATGGCTGCTATAATCAACTCCGCCACCGCGGAGCATTCGCCACTAGCCTCCGCCTCCGTCGATTCCACCTCCCGCAACCGATCCCCTTCCCCATGCGCCGCGACCTGGTCGATCCCTTACCGCCACGCGGCTTCTGCTTCCCCCGCCGCCATGCTCCTTGTCCTCCCCGACGGCTCGGCGCGCTTATACACGGAGGAAGTGACCGTTGCACAGCTCGCCTACGATTTCCCCGACCTTGTCGTTAGCTGCACTGCGATCGTCGCTGGCGACACGTGCAACGGGGGAGCGTGCGATGATTGCAACTCAAATGCTCAAGATAAGGCGTCGAAGCCTCGAGGCGCGATCCTCCCACACCACACGGTCTTGCGATTGGGCGGGACGTATTATCTCTCGAACCGCGAAGGTCCTGGCTCCGATCCTTCTGCTGCTTCTGGGGAGATGTGCGATTCGAGACGTAGCAGCAAGCGCAGCAGTAGCAGCTACACTACTAGCAGCTCTGTTATTGAGGATATACGCTATCGCGAAGATTACAGTACCAGTGGTGCGAGTATCAGCAGTGGCGAAGACGGCAGAAGCTTCAGTGGGGAAAGTTGGCGAACTTTCTCGAGTGGCGACGATTTTTTGTGTAACAGGTCGGATGCTGGTTCCAGTTACAGTGGTAACCTCTCCGCTGTGGCTTCGACTGGGAACGAAAGCAAACGCTTTTCGTCAAAAGAAGGAGCGATAGCTTGTCACAGGCGATCACTGTCGCTCATGTTCGCGGACTCGCAGATGCCTTCGCCACGGCGAGACGTGCCCTGTAACGGTAACCAGCAAGCTCGACAATCACGCAATCCCACCGTCTCGCGCTCAGGCGAGCTTTCGCCCGCTCCCTCTCAAGTACGATCTGCCCAGCGACCGCCTGCGACAAGCTCCCCCGTCGCACACCGTCGCCAGTTCCTTCGCACAACCACTCCATTGCGCGATCGTCCCAACGCGCCTCGTCACGCGCGCACCCGCACGGAAATCCTCGCCAATGCTTCTGTATTGACTGATTCGCTTGCGGGTGATGCGCCCGTTGCTGGTTGGCGGGCTGTAACGAGTGCTGATTGGGCTTCGCTACAAGAGACTCTTCGCCAAAATAAGCTCCAGCTACAGCAGTCGCAGCAGCACTCGCAGCTACAACCGTCGCAGCAGCCGTCGCAGCAGCCGTCGCGCATGGCTCACCGTCGCAGAAATCTCTCCGCCACCACCGCGGTTTCTCCCGCTGACTGGTCGAGCGCCAATCTCTCCGCCTATCCTTCCGCCTCCGCCCTCCCCGACGACCACGTGCGGAGCCCCGGTCGCGCGCGAGCGCAGCTGGCGGCGCACGGTGCAAGCGGACGTGGCGCGGAAGCAGCAGGAATTGTCGGCGGCGCTGCACTCCACCAACCGGTGGGAGCGTGCCACATGGCAGTGCCAGCTGGCAGGGCTCTGAGGCGGTGCTTCTCGCACACGGAGACGCGGGTCGAGGGAGGGCGGGTGGTGTGGTGGGGCGGGGAAGCGGATCAGGCGGAAAGGCAGGGGGAGGCGGAGGTGGAGGAGGGGGAAGTGCATGAAGATAACAATAGGACTGGAATTGACATCATCCAAGAGTTAAAACCGGATGTTTTAGGCAGTGATGGCGTGGCTAGCGAGGCTGACCGTAACGAGGGTGATGTGAACGGTCCCCCAGCCTCCCCTAGCAGCACCAGCAGCGGTGACAGCACCGATAGCGAGGCAGATGCTAACGAGGCGTTTTGGGACTCCCCTCGCTGCTTCTTCTCCCCCCTCTCCCTCTCCCTCCCTCGCTCCCCCTTTTCTCCCTCCGTCCCTGCGCCCTCCCTGCTCTCCCTCACCAACACTCCTGCCTGCAAATCCGCAGAATCACCCACTACAGTCACATCCGCTACAGGAACAGGTACTGAGCGCGCGCCTGTTACAGTTGCATCTCGCCCCGGCCACACCCGCCGTCGCACCATGGATATCTGCCTGCCTCTGCCGTCCCTCTCCCCTGCTACAGTCCCTGCTACAGTTTCTGCTCGGAGAGGATCTTTTTCAGCTGCCCAGTCACCGAAGAAAACTCCTCCGGGCAGTGCAGGAAATACGGGAGGTGCTGCTGCTGGCGTTTTCTCTCCATCCCCTTTAAGAGCCAACTCTGGTGATGGGATAAGGAGTGCAGCTACACCTACACAGGAAGGCTTGCAAAGCATTAGTAGAAGCAGAGCGCTTCTAAGGAGTATGAGCAGCAGAGAGCGGCAACGCAGCAGGGAGAATCTGCCAAGCAGCAATTTGGGTGGGACTAATTCCCCTTGCCCTGAGTCGAATTCAGGGTGTATTGCTGGAAGAAACCCTAGCCCATTGCCCTGGGTGCACGCTAGGGCAAACTCCCTCTGGAATTCGTTACCACAGCCGTCCTCTGCACCACTGGATGCTTCCTGGAAGGTGCAGGAGCAGAATACCAGCAATAGCAACAACGGTAGCACCAGTAACAGCTGTGGTAGCACCACCAGCAGCAGCAGCAGCAGCACCAGCAGCAGCAGTAACGAGCAGCTATAGCAGCCGCAAGTTCAGTTTGCTCAATTTTAAGGCTCTCTCCATCTCCATCCGGTCAGGCAACAGCAGCAGCAGCAACAGCTGCACCAACTCTCCTCACTCCCCCTTCTCCTCCCCCTCCTCAGAATCCCCCATCCCAACTGCAAGCTCCGTTTCCTCCTTCGACTCTTCCTTTAACTCATCGTTCTCCCACTCCTCCACTTCCTCGTCCCCTGCATCTTCCACCTCCTCCCCTTCCTCCTGCTTCTCCTCCCATTCACCCTCTCTCGCATCCCCATTTCACACACCTAATCCCCACATCCCTCAGAAACATCCTACCCAAAACCTGCTTCCCACAAACCAGCTCCTACCGCCCCTGGCCCACCCCTCCCTCAGTTGCACCTCCCCCACATCTCACCTGGACATAGTCAAACCCAGCTCGCCCCAGTACGGCCACTCACCACACTCCACCGCATCCAACTCCGTCCCCTTGCCCCCTCTGCCTTCACCGTCCGGCCTGTCAGGGCATGGGGGCAGGGCGCCCGTGTCGCCTCACTCGCTCGCCAAGGGAACAGGGAAGATTGTTAGGGCATCGCGATTCCAGAGGCAGGAAGGAGAGGGATAAGACCCTTAGGCGTCTGACAGTCAGTCCTGCAGGGGCATGGGGGCAGCGCCCCTCTGTCTCCTCACCTGCTCTCCAAAACAAGGGCGTCGCGACGGGTGAATGATGGGCAGCCTGTCTGTACATAGCATCCTGTACTGTATATGTACTAACTCTAGTTGTTAGTAACATTTTGTCTACATATGTTGATATTGTACAGCTACACTTACAGTTATGGTACAGGTTTGGAAAGAACTTAGGACAGACACCAATCTAGCTCCGTTACATGTCCAAACCCCGGGAAATTATTAATGACATGCAATGTCGCACACGAGCCCCCACCCCACCCTCCTATCCTATAGCACCCCCATCTTCCACGTCCCCACCCTCCCTCTCCCCCTCCTCGCATCCCCATTGAGTCACTCAAGAACCAAACCCCAGTCCCTCAACTCTACACCCTAGTCTCTTGAACCCAGCAAACCATTTCACACTCCCATGCCCCTCCCCTTGCCCCTTGATGCTCCATGCCCCACCAGGTAAAGGATTCCCATACCCCTCACCCTCCCCTCCCTCCCCTCCCTCCTCGCCCTCCCCTCCCTCCCCTCCCTTCCCTCCCTCCCCTCCCTCCTCCACCTCCTTCCCCATATTCCACGCCTCCAGCTCTTCCTCCCCTCTCCCTCCCTACGTCACTCGCTTCTCTCAATACCCCACTCTCCTAGAACCCAGGAGATCGCTCCACGTCCCCACGCCCTTTTCCTTGGCCCCCCCATACTCCATGCACCCAGCCTCTCCTCCTTCCCCCCTCCCTCGCTACATCACCACTCGCTTCTCTCAATACCCCACTCTCCTAGAACCCAGGAGATCGTTCCACGCCCCTACGCCCCTCCCCTTGCCCCCCCACGCCCCACGCCCCCATCCTTCCTCCCTCTCCGGGAGACTGATGCCCGTACCCCTCCCTGTCCTCGCCCTCCTCCACCTCCTCCCCCATACTCCACGCCTCAAGCTTTCGAGACAAAGCCCTCAGGCGCTCCCTCTCCCTCTGCAGGTGTGTGCGCGCAAGAGTGATGTCCTGAACATAGGGGGAAAGGGAGAGGCACTAAGTTGAAGCGTGAAGTTGCTCCCCCTCTCTCTGCAGGTGTGTGCGCGCAAGAGTGATGTCCTGAGAGAGGCAGACACAGGGCAGGAAATAGACACTCTCAGGAATCCCTCGCCCTCCTCCACCTCCTCCCCCATGCTCCACGCCTCCAGCTTTCGAGACAAAGCCCTCAGGCGCTCCCTCTCCCTCTGCAGGTGCGCACGGGCCAGAGTGATGTCCTGAAAGGAGAGAACGACAGAAGAATGGGACGCAGAGGGGACGACAGGGATTTGCACTCAATCAAGTCATGCAGCCTCTCCTCTGCAGGTGCGATTGGGCCAGAGTGATGTCCTGGGAGAAAGACACATGGATGGATGGGACGCATTCGGGGAGACAGCCGGATTCAGAGGTTGTACATGAGAGTCTGCCTGATGACTTGCACTCAACCAAATCCTGCAGCCTCTCTGCCTTCCTCTGCACAACCGTGCGGGACAGAGTGATGTCCTGGGGGGGACAGACACACGGGGGATAGAGAGACTAGGCACACCCTATGTTGGATTATACGCTCGAGGCCCTTCGCGTTTAGCGTATATACGCTAGCGTATACACGCAATACGCTAAACGCTAGCGAATACGCAATACGCTGCCATAAAATTTTCCGGGCAGCCCGGAAAAATAAAATCGCAGAAAAGATGCGGATTTTCTTGGTGAGCATTTCGCCGAAGTCGAAATGCAAATCCGCGGTCTAGGCAAGCTGGGATCTGACTTTGAAGTTTTCAGGCACATCTAGCTATTCAAATGTCGAATTTCAGACCCCATCCGCATTTGAACCCATCCCCTCTACCGCATTGAAAACCATCTTATCTACGAAATCCAACCTATCAAAATCGAACCCCCAACAAATCTCACGCTACTAACCAGCCAACCCAACTCCTAACCCGTCATTTCCTACCTTGCATTCCCGCTTCCAGCAGTGTCACCGCGCACTCCAACTTGAAAAGCCTCTCCAACACTACTTTCTCTAGCTATGATGACTACTCCCCGCCCCACCCCACTCGCCGATCGGACTCAGGAAAATGCTACGGCACGTCCTAGTGAGATGAGATAGGGGGTATTTTTTTCCACCCTGCCCGAATTTTTTTTCCCTGCCCGAAAAAGCGTATGCCTGATCCGACCCTCAAGCGTATTGCGTATACACGCCAGCGTATATACGATACGCATATATACGCTAAACGCGTATAATCCATCATAGGGCACACCTGTGACGGTCTCATCTCAGGTGCGTCGGTACTGTGTTGAGTGACTAAAGCCCCTCTAAAGCCTGAAACCCCTCTATCTCCATCTGCAGGTGCGTGCTGCCCCCCTGCACCTCCAGCTAAGCTCACCACTGCTTACAACCCTTTTACCGTGTCTCACCGCTTCTCACCACACCATACCATACTGTAGGCAAGTCAGAGTAGATGGCAAGGTCCTGCAGCCTCCCCACCACCTCCTCCCCCTCCAACTGACCCCACCACCTTGCACATCTCTTTTCACCGCATTTCACCACATCACACCCCATCACACTGCAACGCACCACACATCACCGCGCCGGACCGTACCGTGGGCAGGTCAGAGTAGATGGCAAGGTCCTGCTGCAGGCGCCCCACCTCCTCCTCCTCCCCCTGCACCTCCGCTGCCAGCTGTAGCAGGGCGGCCATGTCCACGTCAGCACTGTACCCCGCGGCCTCTAGTGAGCCCTGGGAGGGAGCGAGAGACAGAGAGAGGGAAGGTGGGGGAGTGGGTGGGGAAGAGGAGAAAAAGAGTCAATGCTATTAGCCCAGCTGTAGCAGGGCAGCCATGTCCACGTCAGCACTGTAACCCGCAGCTTCCAGTGAGCCCTGGGAGGGAAGAAGGGAATAGAAATTTGAGAAACGAATGGAAATCCGAGAAAGGAAAAGAAGAAAGGGCATTCAATGACCTAGCTGTATTAGGGCAGTCATGTCCACGTCAGCACTGTAGCCCGCAGCCTCTAGTGAGCCCTGTGGGAAGGGAAACGAGGCGAGGGAACATGAGGAAAGAAAAAAAACCATATCTTTGCTGTGCAGGAGAGAAAGAGAGAGAGTTAGAGCGGAGAGACAGAGACATGGAGAACCCCATTTGTTTTTTTCTGCCAGCCATGCCATCATATCCACCTCATCCGTGACGTGGCTATGTTACTGTGCCCACGTCGGCAGGTCGCACGAGCACGGCGCGGCCAGGACTCCAACCACTGCCACCATGACATGTCGAGCACGGGCTCCGAGCATGGGCGCAATCTCAGGCGACTCAAACTCCAGACTACAGTTGTGAGGGTGTGACCGCCAATGGGCACAAGAACCAGGCTGGAGCAGGAGACCGGGACGAGGGTGAGTGCCGGTGCGGGCATAAAGTCTTTCATCGCTGCAGCCGCACCGGCACTCACCCACGTCTCAGTCTCCTGCTCGAGCCTGATTCTTGTGCCCGCTGGTGGTCGCACCCTCACGATTGTAGTCGCTGGATTTCAAGTCGCCCGAGATTGCGCCCATGCTCGGACCCCGTGCTCTACATTTCATGGTGACAGTGGTTGGAGTCCTGGCCATGCTTCAAATGCTCAACCTCTCCCATTTTCCACCCATTCACCCACACATACCTGCGCGGCAGATCGATGCAGGCTCAGCTGCTGCTGCTCGTGATTGTTCTCCTCTCACTCCCCCCAACCCATTCACCCACACATACCTGCGCGGCGGATCGCTGCAGGCTCAGCTGCTGCTGCTCCTGTGCCGTTTTCCTGATTTTGTCTGCCACGTCATCAGTGGCCCTGCTGATGTCATCGTCCGATGGCAGCTGCGCCTTCCAGCTGGCAGCACAGCACAGGGTGCCACGTGGCAGAGGGAGGTGGAAAAGGGTATGATAAGGTCAACAACAACAAATAAATGTAAATGCAACAAGAAAAAAACCACAAGGGAGAACCGAAAAAAATTAGGTTCAGCTACTCTTAACCTCCTCCCCTCACACCCACCGTCACCTCTAGATGCACTTAGCCAGAGCACGACCTGCTCCTGCCTTGCCTGCAGGCTGGTCTGGGTCAGCTCCAGCAGCTGCTCACACTCCTGTCAACGACCGTTTCGTTTTCCCCTCACAACACTTACCACCACCCTCACAACACTTACCACCACCCTCACAACACTTACCACCACCCTCACAACACTTACCACCACCCTCACAACACTTACCACCACCCTCACAACACTTACCACCACCCTCACCTTTCAATGCACTCAGCAAGAGAAGCCACCTGCTCCTGCCTTGCCTGCAGGCTGGTCTGGGTGTGCTCCATCCGCTGCAGCAGCTGCTCGCAGTGCCATGCACGCGTGGACAGGTGGGTGATGGCGCTGGGGAGGCTAGGGGGATGGGGACGGAGGCAGAGAAGCGGGAGACGGGTGAAGGGTGAATGGGCAGCAGGCTGGCGTGGGTTCACTCCATCCGCAGCAGCAGCAGCTCGTAGTGCCATGCGCGCGGGAACAAGTGAGAGATTGCACTGCGGAGGCTGGGGGGGGAAGAGGCGGGGACATTGAAAGGGGAAAACGGGGGGTTGAATGGGTCGCTGCCGCAGCAGATGCAGGCACTTCCATGGGCGCGTGGACAGGTGAGGGGTGGCTGGAAGGGTTGGGGCAAAGGCATGGAAAGTATTAGAGGAGGGGGGGAAAGAGAGGTGGTTGTGAATGGGCAGGTGCAACAGGCTGGTACGCGTCTGCTGCGTCTGCTGCGTCTGCTGCATCTGCTGCACCTGCTGCACCTGCTGCACCTGCTGCACCTGCTGCTCACAGTGCCATGCGCGTGGATGGACAGGTGAGCCACTGCGCTGGGGAGGTTGGAGGGAGGGGAACAAGGCATGGAAAGCACGCAGCCTCTTGCACCTGCTGCTGCAGCAGCTGTGGCTATGCACACCTACTGTGGTAGCAGCTCTGCCTTTCACGACATGCGAGGGTGGTTACTAACCTATTGCACACATTTCAGCTCACCAGTGTGGGTCCGTGACAGCGGGCAGTTGGCAGAGCTCTGCAATCTGACACACTGCTTCTGTGGTGTCCACACTCCTGCTCTGCCCCTCGCTGCAGCACCTGCAGACTCACCAGTGCGGGTCGGTGACTGCGAGCAGTTGGCAGAGCTCTGCAATCTGACACACTGCTTCTGTGGTGTCCACACTCCTGCTCTGCCCCTCGCTGCAGCACCTGCAGACTCACCAGTGCGGGTCGGTGACTGCGAGCAGTTGGCAGAGCTCTGCAATCTGACACACTGCTTCTGTGGTGTCCACACTCCTGCTCTGCCCCTCGCTGCAGCACCTGCAGACTCACCAGTGCGGGTCGGTGACTGCGAGCAGTTGGCAGAGCTCTGCAATCTGACACACTGCTTCTGTGGTGTCCACACTCCTGCTCTGCCCCTCGCTGCAGCACCTGCAGACTCACCAGTGCGGGTCGGTGACTGCGAGCAGTTGGCAGAGCTCTGCAATCTGACACACTGCTTCTGTGGTGTCCACACTCCTGCTCTGCCCCTCGCTGCAGCACCTGCAGACTCACCAGTGCGGGTCGGTGACTGCGAGCAGTTGGCAGAGCTCTGCAATCTGCGACACTGCTTCCGTGGTGTCCACACTCCTGCTCTGCCCCTCGCTGCAGCACCTGCAGACTCACCAGTGCGGGTCGGTGACTGCGAGCAGTTGGCAGAGCTCTGCAATCTGCGACACTGCTTCCGTGGTGTCCAAACTCGTGCGTTGACTGTCCGACGCACCTACCATTGTGTGGGTCCCTTGCACACCGCACCTGCACACCTACCAGTGCGGGTCCGTGACAGCGAGCAGTTGGCAGAGCTCTGCAATCTGACACACTTCTTCTCCGGTGTCAACAGCTGTACAGAGGTACCGTGGTCCTTTTGCCCCATGCATGTGGTTACTAACCTATTGCACACTGCACACCTGCAGACTCACCAGTGCGGGTCCGTGACAGCGAGCAGCTGGCAGAGCTCTGCTATCTGAGCTACTGCTTCCGTGGTGTCCACGTCACGGAACTCGCCCAACACTGTTGCCAGCACTGACTTGAGGTGCGCCGCTGGGAGGGATGGGAAGGAAGGAAGGAAGGACCGACCATACGGGATGTAAAAACGATCTGAGGCAAAGGAATTCGCACAATAACCGCTGCCAACACGACCCACAGGAGTCACGGTTCTACTGACTTCCACTGAGATCCACCCAATCCAGCATATGTATCGTCATATGTATCATGGAAATCACCTTCACCAGATTCACCTAGCACAGAAAATTACCTTCCGCTCGGTATCCTCGAGCCTGGATCTCCGCTTCCGCCAGCATCGGCGATTTAGCGGCGGACGTCGCGACGCTCCGCGCACCATAATTCCCACCAGCGTCGCCACCGCTGTTGCTGCTGCTGCCGGCGTTAATCCTGCTGCCAGCGCTAACGCTGTTGCCGACATTATTGCTGCTGAGATCGCTGGCTCTGCTGCTGCTGCCGCTGCCGCTGCCGCTCCTCGCGCCGTCGCTTACAGCTAGCGAGCAGCCTTCCGGACTAGAAAATAGCCTGGTTCTACAGTCACTATCCGCCATGATAACGCTCTAGTTTCAAATTACAAGGAAACGAAATTCGCGATGGCAAATATGGGTCGGATTCCAGCCTGATCCCCGAAGTCCCAACACGGCTGGATTCGCAGCTTTCGGTACCGGGTCGTTCGTTTCGCCAGGCTCATGTATTTTCTCGAAAAATGTCGAAATGCGGAGACGGATACCGTGTTTCTAGGTTACCTTCACCTCACACCGGAAATATTGAGGCTCATATGATAAGTTTCCTCCAACTCACAACATTTTTCCACTTGAGTTTTTTGTTGCTATTGATAGCTTGTAAGCAACTACCACATTCCACATCCAGCAGAAAGTATACATTTTGATTGGTGACTGAGCATACATAGTTGCAAGAATCGATAGCTCCAAATTCTTCTTGTAAGAGAGCACCCAAATCGATGGAGTCAACTAGGTCAACGTTATTGAGGCCCTCCTGGACGCCTATATTGGTGATCAGTGCGTGGGTGCTGCAGGTGGGTTCCTGCTGCCTGCTGGTACATATCAAGTGACTGTTGGTTCATTGGCGAATACGAGTATCCAGGCGAAGGGGGGTAAGCAGGCAGCAACTGCTGACCTGGCACTACCATCCCCTGCCCTGTAGAAACCCACTGCACTCCAGCTGCTGGTGCTGCTGCTGGCACTGCTGCTGTTGCACCTCCTGGTGCTGCTACTGCCGCTGCCGAGTCGAGTACCATCTGCCGTATGCTCGCATTTGGACCCGTGCCTGTGACCGTGCCCATGCCTGTGCCCGTGCCTGTGCCCGTGCCTGTGCCCGTGCCTGTGCCCATGCCTGTGTCTCTTCCTGTGGCCGTGCCTGCTGACAGGGCAGGGATCCTCTGACCTGCCCTGTCACCTCGTGCAAGGGCATCCAAGTGACTCGCTGCGGCTGGCTGCTGACGTGGCACAGCCTCCTGCCCTCCTCCCACTGCCCCCTCCACACTACGCCGTGAGGCCTGCACCTGCCTCTTCGCCTGCCCTGTTTCCCTGGAATGACTGGAACTACCAGAATGCCGTTTCGCGTCCCCTGCTGCCTGTGTGTGCATGTCCGAATTGGACGGTCCAGCAGACCTTGATACGACAGGCTGTGCTGTTGCTTCTGTGCCACGTGTCACACCAGATGTCACAGAAGCAGGTTGAGGAGAGGACATGTGAGGTGGAGAGGAGGGTATGGAAGAGTGAGGCGAGGAGACATGCAGACCACTCAACTGCGCCATGTAGTCAACTGCTTCCTTCCCCTCCCCCGCCCCTGCTCTCTCTCCTTCCCTCCCTTTCTGACCGGCCTGCTGCTGCTGTTCTAGCTGCTGCTGCTGCTGCTGCTGCCGCTTCTGCTGCTGCCTGTCTTCGTTGCTGCTGCCTCTGCTGCTTCTCTAGCTGCCTCTGCTTCTCCGCCTGCTGCTGCTGCTTCTCCAGCTGCCGCTGCTGCTCAGCCTGCTGCAGCTTCTGCATCTCTACATGCACTGGAGACAGAACACTGCCAGCAAGTTGCGCTACAGATTGATTAGGATGTGCTGGAGTTGGCAAATGTGCTACAGCTGGATTTTGCGCTACAGGTGGATTAGAATGTGCTGGAGTTGGTGCGTGTGCTGCAGCTGCAGTTGTGGCTGCCACACCAGATGCATGCACAATAAACTGTTCCTGCACTTGGTTCGCCCTCTGTGCAATGCGTGCCTGCTCCTCCTGCTTCAACCGCAGCTGGTGAGATCACATCAGTGCGCGGCACGGGAATGCAAGGGGGAGAAAAGAGGTGGGGGGGGGGGGGGGGGGGGGGGGGGGGTAGTGTGAGCAGTGAAAAAAGCGCAGTGGGAGAGAGCAGTGAGAGAGAGAGAGCAGTGCGAGAGAGAGAGCAGTGCGAGAGATAGAGCAGTGCGAGAGATAGAGCAGTGCGAGAGATAGAGCAGTGCGAGAGAGAGAGCAGTGCGAGAGAGAGAGCAGTGCGAGAGAGAGAGCAGTGCGAGAGAGAGAGCAGTGCGAGAGAGAGAGCAGTGCGAGAGAGAGAGCAGTGCGAGAGAGAGAGCAGTGCGAGAGAGAGAGCAGTGCGAGAGAGAGAGCAGTGCGAGAGAGAGAGCAGTGCGAGAGAGAGAGCAGTGCGAGAGAGCAGTGAGAGGGAACCAAGAAAGTGCTCACCGCTGCCTGGTTGCTCCGAGTTATGTCTTCAAGAGCTGCGATAGCGGGGACGAGACTGCAATTACATTGTTATCACCACAGACAAAGAGAAGAAGAGAAAGAAGTCAACAATAAAGAGGATATAACAAACACCAAGCTGTATATAGCACTGCGGATATAACAAACAATAAGGTGTATACAACAGTAAACAAAACTAACGTGGATATGAACGCATGTTAACGAGGCCAAGGGGAATCGAAACTGGCCGATAAGCATGCCTATGAGGTGTCCTAGGGAATAATAAAGTGATATGTGCTTTCTGTATCCTTTATAACCCTTCTGTGCCTCACCAGGTTTCCATTAAGCGGCACAAGGCAGCTTGATAGGTGGCGTGGTGGTGTATCAACTCCAAAGGGTTAGGCTCACCGTGCCTGGGACATGGTGGAGAGAGGGAGGGCGGAAGAGAGGGGGAAGGCAGAGGGAGGAGAGAGGCCATGAGGGGCAAGACTGGTAGGTGGCGTGGTGGTGAATCAACTCCAGGTTGGGCTCGCCATGCCTGGTGCAGAATTGGTTAGGAGGGAAGAGGTGGAGGGAGGGTAGAGCGAAAATAAGCAAACAATGTGTTATTGAAGCGTGGTTGGTGTGGCGGAGGCGCCGTGCAGTACAGAGGGGCTACAGTACTGCAAAGGGGAAAACATCAATGCATGCGTACCTGTGTGTGTGCTCTACTGCCCTCTCATACGCCTCCTTCTCCTCCATTAGCAGCATGCGCTGCAGCTTGGCCAGGGGCGGCACCACTTGTGTGTGTGGGGCAGAGAGGGAGGAGAGAGCACTCGCATCACCTGCATTTTTTCTCAGTAGTTTACTGGAACCCACCTGCCTGCATGCTCCACCGCCCTCTCATACGCCTCCTTCTCTTCCATCAACAAAATCCGCTGCAGCTGGGTCAGGGGCGTCACCGCGTGTGCAAGGGGCAGGGAGGAGAAGGCTCGGGCTGAGTGAAGGCAAAGGGGAACTGCGTACCTGCCTGCGTGCTCTACTGCCCTCTCATACGCCTCCTTCTCCTCCATCAGCAACATCCTCTGCAGCCCAGTCAGGGGCGCCACAGCATGTGCGCGGGGCAGGGAGGGGAAGGCGCGGGCCGAGGGAACCACCTTTATTGGCACCTCCCATGCCGTGATGTGAAGTCAGATGATGGGCTGACAGGGGCAGAGGGGGAAGGGAGAAACAGAAGAGAAGGGAGGGAGGGAGGGTTAACGAGAGTGGTTAATTTAGAGGGGACCACCTTTATTGGCACCTCCCATGCCGTGATGTGAAGTCAGATGATGGGCTGAGAGAGGGATGAGGGGCAGGAAGAGACGGAGGAAAAGGGAGGGTTGTGAGAGTGGATTTAATCAGAGGGGCCCACCCTGATGGGCACCTCCCATGCTGTGAAGTCGGAGGATGGGCTGTGAGAGGCACGGGGAAGAGATGGCAGGGGAGACAGGATGGGATGGGAGGATGCGGAGAGATGGTGGTAGACGGGGGACCACACTTACTTGCAAACGCAACACCCGTGCGTTTACGGAGAGATGGCAACACTACTAAGACGTTATTATTTGAGTCAGCAGCAGCACTTATACGTCATCATCCACGTCAGCAGCACCACTTAAACGTCATCATCCACGTCAGCAGCACCACTTACACGTCATCATCCACAGCAGCCAGCACCACTGCCAACTCCTGAGGCTCGAGGTCGGAAACAGAAGGGTGCGAGGAGTGCTCTCGCTGCAAATACGGGAGAGATGGGAGGTGGAAGTGGCAGGAGGGAATAGCAGGGTTGAGTTGAGACTTAAAGCGCCTAAAACATCATCCACAGCCGCCGGCACTACTGCCAGCTCCTGAGGCTCGAGATCTGAAACAGAGGGGTGCGAGGAGTGCTCTCGCTGCACAAAAGGCAAGGTTGGAGGTGGAAGAGGCAGGAGGGAATGAGAGAATTGAGTTGAGTTTTGAGGCGCCTCAAAAATCAGCACCAACTGCCAGCTCTTCAAGCTTGAGATTAGAGACGGGTGGGTGGGAGGAGTGCTCCCTCTGGAAGAAGGGCAAAGTCGAAAGTGGAGGAGGCAGGAAGGAACAGGCGAGAAGCAGGTGGGAAAGGAAAAGCAACGGCGAGCAATGGATGCATGAGGTGGGGCATTGCCTGCGTGTAATGAGTCGTGTTTTGAGTCGACTCAAAACAGGTGGGAAAGGAAAAGCAACGGCGAGCAATGGATGCATGAGTTGGGGCATTGCCTGCGTGTAATGAGTCGTGTTTTGAGTCGACTCAAAACAGGTGGGAAAGGAAAAGCAACGGCGAGCAATGGATGCATGAGGTGGGGCATTGCCTGCGTGTAATGAGTCGTGTTTTGAGTCGACTCAAAACAGGTGGGAAAGGAAAAGCAACGGCGAGCAATGGATGCATGAGGTGGGGCATTGTCCCCCAGAAAGGGGCTGCTAAAGAGCTCCACTCCTGCTACAGAAGGGTCGCCTCACCTAAGGGCTGCCTCACTTACGCTTCTCCTATTTTTCCTTGTCAGTCTTCCACTCCAACTTCAACCACACACCCCCCGCTGCTTCGCCCCACCTTGGTGACCAGCTGCGCCCACTGCGCTCGTGCCGGGGTGTGCCGTGATCGCTCCCCCCGCTGCTCCCCCTTGCCCCTTGTGGCATACACCCGCCCACTCCCCCACTCTTGCTCCCCACCTTGGTGCCCCATGCCGGTGTGTGCCAAGAACGCTGATCCCCCTTCTCCTTGTCACTCTCCCATCTTCAGCCATACCTTCCCTCAACTCCCACCCACCCCACCACTCTTGATCCCCACCTTGGTGCCTAGCTGCGCCCACTGCCCCCGTGCCGGTGTGTGCCGTGACCGCTACTCCCGCTGCTCCTTGTCGCGGGCTGACACAGACTGAAACGCCACCGCCTGCAGCTGACCTGCCTGTATGAGGGGGTGGGGGAGAGGGAGGGGGGACGATGATAAGAAGGATGCATGGGGAAAATGGAACGGACTATTGCTGCTCCCGCTGCTCCTTGTCGCGGGCTGACACAGACTGAAACGCCACCGCCTGCAGCTGACTCGCCTGTGTGGGAGGTGAAGGTGAGGAAGGGGAACGAATGGGACACAACTGAGCCGTGGGGAGGAGGGTCAATGAAAGGCAGAGAATACGATTGAAAATCCTAAAAAAGGACATGTGAGAAGGCGCATTAGAGAAGGAGGTGGGCAGATGCGAGGAAAATCTGGGAAGGCTCTATTGAAGGTGGAGAATAAGTGTGTGGGAGGTGACGGGGAGAAAGGTCTACAAACCCCGCGCCTACGGGACGGCGCCCACACACACTTTGCACATGCCTTGTGTGCGTGCAATGTGCATGTGCGCACATCTGTGTTATGCGACTCTTGAGTATACTCACAACTCACTTGCGCATGCGAGGAGGCTCGGTTGAAGGCGGAAAATATGAGCCCCACGAAGCCCTCGTCTAGCATCTGATACATACCCTGTGTGCGCACGTCTGGTGTGAGGGAGGCAGCGAAGGGAGGTGTGGGGAGAAAGGGGCATTGGGGGGCACATGGGGTGTTTTGAGTCCCACGAAGCCCTCGTCCAGCATCTGATACATGCCTTGCGTGCGCACGTCTGATGGTTAGAGAAGAGAGAGGGAAGGGAAACAGCGCATGGTGTGTTTTGAGTCGACTGGAAACACGTCAATTGAATGTGAGAACGAATATGAGCCCCACGAAGCCCTCGTTCAGCATCTGGTGCATGCCCTGTGTGCGCATGTCTGATGCTCACCATAGGGAGCAAAGGGAAGAGAAAGATGGGGAAACACATCAAGAGAACATGAGTCCCACAAATCCCTCGCCCAGCATCTGATACATGCAATGTGTGCGCGCCTCTGATGGCTAGAGCACCAAGGGCAGAGCGAAGGGGAGAGCAAAGGAGGAGAGCACATGGGGAGGCAGGAAGAGGAGAAAGAAGGAAGGAAAGGCGATGGTGCTTGAAAGCTTAAATGAGATGAGATGAGAGATGCGAGATGTGCTTTATAACAACAGATGAGATGTGAGCGATGTGGGGCAGATACCACCGCACGCGCTTAATACCATGTGCACATGACATGTGATGAGCAAAACGACATACCAACGTGGGATGGGTGAACAGTGATGTGTGGGTGCGAGTGGTACCACCCAATGACACGTGTCCTCATGCCAGTGGCTGCTGACATCCTGCAAATAAAAGCATGGCATGGCATGCATAGCATGGAATGACATAACATGCACACACAATCAGCATATGGCATGAAACGGCATGACATGACATTCACGAAATGGTCAACGTGGTCAACATGTATGACCCCAAGAGCAGTGATGGGAAGCAAGTAAAAGCCTGGACTCATGGGAGAGCACACATGGCCTACAAGAGAGTTACCAGCCATATGAAAATCCACTAGCAAACTCGCAGGTAAATCTCACTCACAGAAAAAAAAAAACAAACAAATTAATACACACACAAGAAAGATGGTTCCAAGGCAAGCATACCTCTCAGCCTCGGCAGACGCTGCTGCCAGCTGCTCCGGAGTGGTCTCAACTCGATCTTTTCTCCTGTCTGCCCGAACATGCGGGGCAGCACCCCAAATCTTTGCAGAGACCACTGGGGTTCGGCCCCTGTGGTCGTACTGTGGTTGAGAAAGAGGCGGAAGGGGGATGAAATTGGGGGTTTAGGGGGGGGGATGGGGGGGGAAGGAAGGGGAAGTGGGTGGGTGAGGGAGAAAGGAGAGAAGAAGTGAGGGAGAGAGTGCACGAGGGTTGCGGGAGGAGGGGAAGATGATGCAATCTATTCAGGCAGTATGAGAAGTGGGTGCATCTAGCAAGGAAATTCCCTACGAGTGGTTGACAGAGACGAACAACGGTGAAGAGGGTTTAAGATCCAGAGAAGCTCATCAGAACTTTACACAGAGGCAACTATGTCGATTCATGACGAAAATGAAACCGGAGCAAACGTCATAAATAAGAGACATTAATGAAAGGAGATTGAACAAAGAGGAGCCTACGTACGTGCATATGTCTTTAGCGTCGACTCAAAAGTCAGCTACGTACATGGATATCCCCGAGCAGCAGACCCATGATTTCCTCCGCTTCCGAGGAGAGGTGACTTTTGAGTCGACACAAAGATCACCTCGAGTAGTCAGAGGAGGCTACGTACATGTTGAAATCACTTTTGAGAATTCTCAAAAGTGATCGACATGGATATTGCCGAGTAGCAGAATTTTGAGTGGCATGAAAGAGGAGCTTGAAAGAGGAGGCTACGTACATGGATATTGCCGAGCAGCAAACTTTCGAGTCGACATAAAGAGGAGGATACGTACATGGATATCCCCGAGCAGTAGACCCATGATTTCCTCCGCTTCCGTGGATAGCGCGTGCGTGGCGCACGTCAGCCACACTTCTGACGAAACCACTACCTCCGTCAGCGACATCGCGGCGTACGGTTACCAGTTGTCGCAGAACACGCTACAGCGGGTCCAGAACGTGCAATTGTGAGTGCGAACGGATACCGCCGACTGGATGTCGATCGCCGTGCGACACTAGAACTCGTACGCTGCAGACATACCTATACGTCGCTAAGCTACCTTACTGAATAGCATGCCAGGACGACAATCCCAGAGAACGCTCCCGAGCTCACATGTATCCTAGACGACTGCGGGATTTGCACATCGACTATCGCCAGTGGGATTTGTGGGCATCTGGAATTTGAAAACCATTCGCTTATATTCGATAACTATTGTCAGGCTATTTTCTATAGCAAAATATCTGGACGACCAAAATCGAGTATTCCAGTTACACTCGATGTAAGCTCCATTTTGCGAAAACGGGAAATGGATTTCGCGAGTTCGCAGATTGTGGGCCAATCGCGTTTCGCCGACATTTTCAGTCAAACCAACAGGGAGGGGGTTGCAGGTTTGGTCTTCCTTCTAATAGCGGAAGCTACTCTGTTAGCGAGTCCTTTCGAATCGCTGGGGCTTTCTGTTTAGTCATATATCGTTACTAGCACTACTGGCGCCACGCGTCGCCTCACGTCCTGGAGTTACCATTTGCCGCATTCCTTGAAGTTGGGGCCGAAACGTTGGGGGCGGTGAAAAATGAAAAGGCCGTCCCAAACTTTTTGCTTATTGGACGTTCCCTACATGAACCAGCTACAGTGTTGATGGAGCACGAACACTTGAGTATTCTGAAGATGTGCCTTGAAATTTTCTCAGAACTCGTAAGTGTTTCGTTACTGAACCATCGAGCAGCGCTAATTGAAACCCGTAAATTAAATTTCGTTGGTGCTCACTGCAGCCCCCCCACGCCCCCCTAGTCCAGATCGCTGCGGGGCTATCAGCCCCTCTGCGCTCCGGATCAGCCAATGGTTGGGCTGAACCTTTCGCGCTTCGATTTCACCGGCCATCAGACCAAGCCGCGGTAAGCTGACAACCCCTCAATTCCGAGTCGGAACAGCCCTACCGAATTGCCCCTTCGCTGGTTCGCCTCGCCCTAACCTGCAGTTTCTCTCTCTCTCTAGCAAGAAATTCACATAAATCTGCGTTTCGAAAATCCAGCAGCCATCAGTTCTCCCTGCGATTCGACAACTCTAGCCATTCAATCACCCTGATTGCAGCTGAAGTACTGGCGGCCTCACCTTGACAGAAGGTTTCCTACCTCTTCCTTTGTTCCTGCAAGTACTAGTCCCTACTTGTAGGCTCTTTCTATTACTGAAGATGGAGATTGCTTGGATGAAAAAGGCAGCGGTATGGGCATTCGCTGGACTGGGACTCGCGCTGGCCGTCATCTCCTGCTGCGAGATGGCCGACAACTATTTCGTTCTCACTCACCCCGACGCTTGCATCGCTTCATCCAACGGAACCCACTGCGCGGCAGAATTCCGCGTAGCGCGGCGATCCCTAAGCGTCCTGCCACAGACACCGGAGCAAGTGACCTCAGCCATGATCGCATCGGTGCAAGCGCAAGTCGCGGCGCTAATCGAGGCGGCCGACGAGATCAAGACAAACAACGTGCGGGAAGATCATTTTACAAATGTCATGGCGAGGACTTGCGCGCGCCAGGCCACCATCGCGCTGCGGTACCTGGGGCAGGCGGGGGATGTGGTGGAGGCGGGCACGAATCAGCTCGACGTGCCGTACTGGCTGGCGGCGGCCGACACGCAGATCGACAACTGCGTCGACGGCTTCCAAACTTTCTCTCCCGCCGCGCAAGGCTTCCCCGCCTACGTACATCTCGAGGTTCGTTACCCGTTATTCGAACTACAAGCATTCGGCTGCACAGCTCGCACTTGCCTTTCTTTACTCCGCGCAACGGCACCACTGGTTTACAATCTGTTCTAAATCCCCGTACCAAGTTTCTCCACGTTTCCACTTCCCTCCGCAGTATACGGCTAAGAAGGCGGGAAGCACCCTTGACGCCCTCTTATCCATCACCAAAGCCGCCGCATCCGCCGCTACCGACGTTGCATCAACGGAGGAGGACGTGGCTCCCGTGCGCGGACGCCGAATGGCCGTCCGATCCAGCAGCGCGGGGAACGGCGCGATGGACTGGCTTGAGCCAGGCTTGTACGAGCAACTGCGGGAGCTTCAAACGAGGCTGAACGCTGAATTCGCCGCAACCGGTGGGGATTCGGAGGATGGTTCCATTTCGAGGAGGCAATTGTTTCACCACCACCACCACGACCATGGTGATAACAACGACAACAACGACAAGAAGGATAAGAAGAACAAAGGCAGCAAGAGCAGCAGCAAGAGCAGCAAGAGCAGCAAGAAGAAGGCGTCGCCGAACGAGGGTCCGATGGTCGTGAGCGCGTCTCTCGCGGCCAGCGCGACCGTCGGATCGGGATACAAGTCGATCCAGGACGCCGTCGACGCCGCTCCCGGCGGCACGCGATTCGTGATTTACATTCCCGCGGGAACGTACAAGGAGCAGGTGGTTATCTCGACGACGGATATCGTTCTGATTGGCGCGGGCGCGGGTAAGACGATCATCACGGGCGACGCGAGTTACGGCAGCGGATCCGGGACGTTCGAGTCGGCTACGGTTGGGGTGGATAGCGACAGGTAATGCCGCCCTTTCCCCTTTCTGCCCTTTCCTCCCTCCCCCTTTCTGAACTTTTCTTTCTCCCCTTACGTTCCTTTTCTCACGTACGGCTTCGCTGTCTTCTCTTCCCGCGTCGCCTCATCATATACCCACCCACCTGGTAACCACACAACAGGTTCGTCGCCTTCGGTATCAAGTTCGTCAACACGGCAGGCCCCCAGAATCACCAAGCAGTTGCGTTTCGCGCCTCCGGCGACCAAACAGCCCTTTTCAACTGCGAGTTCGACGGATCGCAAGATACATTGTATGTGGACGCGGGCCGCCAGTACTACAAAAACTGCAAGATTGGCGGCTCGCAGGATTTCATTTTCGGCGACGCGGCTGTGGTTATCGACGCGCCCAAGATTCAGCTTCACCCGAGCCCCTCTTTCGGGACTCTCACGGCGTCGGGTCGGGCCAAGGACACCCCGACGGGGATCGTGATTCGCGACGCTGTTGTCTCGGCGGATCGCGGCACGGCCAAGGTGTATCTGGGCCGTCCGTGGAAGAAATGCGCTTTCACGGTTTTCATCAACGCGTTTCTCCCCGCGGTGATCGAGAAGGACGGGTGGCTGTCGTGGAACGAGGGCAGCTGCATGTTTCTGGCGGAGGCGGGCAGCAAGGGGCCGGGCGCCGCGTCGTCCCGCGCAGACTGGGTGGACCCTGGGATCATCACGAGCGTCAGCGGATACGACGCCAACTCCTTCACGCAAGTCAACACCTGGCTCCGCCTGTCGCGCTAAGGTTGATGTTAGCATGATTACCAGCGGCAGCAGTAGAAGCAGCAGCAGCAGCAGCAGCAGTGAGTAGTTGGTGGTAGCAGTTACGAGACCTTGTTGTAGGCCCTGGTTGCAGAAGCGCCAAACCCGCTTAGGAATTTAGAGTTGTGAGGAGCTTTAGATGCAGCTGCACAATCGAAGGCGGCGTACTAGTGCTGTACTTTAGGAAAGCTCTTAGCAGGGGCTACGGTAGTTCTCTGGATATTAATTATTTTGACAGTTAATGAAATAAATTATGATTTGGTTTGTTAAATGTTTTCTCCTTGCTACAATGAATGCGAGGAAGGACCAACCCAGGCTTAGCGTGTTTGAATTGTTTTTTTGCTCTGGTTTTATCGTTCACTGGAAGCTTGGTTAAACAGGCTGACATAACTTCGTAGTAAACAGCTTGGACACATTAGCATAAACTAGCTAGCCAATGATGTAGCAGAAAACGATCTTGATAGCTAAAACATGCATTATTTCACCCTTCTCTCCACCACCCACTTTCTCCCTTGATAGTGGGTTTACTTTCTCCCAGTCCTCCCCCAATGCCGTCCTCTCCCTTCCCCCCTAGCACTGTGCCCTTACCTTATCTCGCTGCACTTCCTATGCCCCTCCAGGAGCTATCTTTGCCGGCGCTGCTCCATGGGTAACTTTGGAATTACCCTTTTCTTCGTCTCCCTCGGATTCACTACCCTCTGCAAACACCATACGGCCAGACTTAGTAAACTCCGAAACCTCCTTCCCAGAGGGTATACGCGTTATAGTACGATCCGTGAACTCGAATCCCAGCGCAGGTACCCATCGAACTCGAACGTCATCCGCATCCCCGACGTTCCCTTCACCTCCCTTCGCAGCAGCTGCATCCCCCCCTCCCCCTGCCGCGCCCACTGCGCCCTTCCCCGTGGGCCTCACTCTCCGCTTCGTCCGCAGCTGGCGCCACTTGAGAATGACAACGATCAGCAGCACGAGGAACAGAGCGGCCAGCGAACCCACCACTCCCGCGATAAGATAGCCGGAGACGGGAGGACTCGGGGTCGGTTCAGGGTTGATTCCAGGGGCGGGGATCGGTAAAGGGGCAGGAGAAGGGATTGGGCCCGGAGGGGGAGGAGACTTGGGGCTCGGAGAAGGAGGAGGCGACTTGGGATTCGGCGGAGGAGATTTAGAAATCGGCGGAGGAGACTTGGTAACCGGCGGAGGAGACTTGGTAACCGGCGGAGGAGACTTGGTAACCGGTGGAGGAGACTTGGTAACCGGCGGAGGAGACTTGGTAACCGGCGGAGGAGACTTGGTAACCGGCGGAGGAGACTTGGTAACCGGCGGAGGAGACTTGGTAACCGGCGGAGGAGACTTGGTAACCGGCGGAGGGGACTTGGTAACCGGCGGAGGCGAAGGGGAGTTGGGACCCGGATCAAGCACGGCGACAGCGGGGGTGTCGCCTTCTGCTGGCTTGCCGTGCGGCGGCCGCCCCTTGACCCTGCCTTGCGATTTCAGGACAGTGCCCGAAT